TACAGTTAATTTGAGGGGATGAATTATGGATGCAAATCTGCAGGGTTACCTGATGACAGAACCAGAAGGACAAGATTGAAGATCATCAAGTGGCTAATCTTCATCGTTGTGTTGAAAACTTTTTAATGTTTATGTGGAGATTGATGAGTAATTCTGTTTCAGATTGATGGTGGCTCTCGTGTACTTTGTGGTGAACTAATAGATCGACTTGATAGTGTTTTTATAGAGGAAATGGTATATTGTCATCTGGGGAATCAAATAAACATACGTATATGACAAATATGCTACCGTATATATGCAATAAATGTACGTATCTGAGTATTTAAAAAACAGGAAATGCTTAATATAAAAACGGAATAATTATTTAAGAAACAATAAATGCATACCTGTGCTAATATAAAAACGGAATCACTGGTTATATATATCTACACGTGAAAAATGAATGCAATATCATTAGTATTTGGAAAGAAAAACAGCAAACGTATATCTGTATCGATACAGGCAATCAAAATTTTCTCGTATCTACTGGATTCGATCCAGGAGTTAATTGGCGTAATTATGCCATACATAGTCACTATAGGTATATAAATTGCCATCCTGACTATTTGGTTCAACTTAAGAAAAGAAATTATCATCCTGACTACGAAAAGTATGGACACTGCACTTGTTATGCAGTTAAACATTTCAGATGTTCTATCGTGTGCCGCTCGTCTAGGGGTGAAGCTTGAACGAAATGAAGTGCTTAATTTACTTTACTTCGGATCGTGCTAAGTTTTTTTGAAAAACTTGTAATGGATGTCCGCGATGATGCGTCGATCGATGACGATGGGTGCACGGGTCCTTCCCTAGCTGCAGCGGCATTGCTTCACACACTGGTCACAACGTCTTGAGCCGTCATCAAGACAGAGAGACGGAAAAAAGAAGGTAGAGATAAGGGTACTTTGATCAGCTTCATCAAAGAAACACATGAAAACATTGTTTAACTGAGAAAAAAAAACAGAGAAATTGCATTGAGAGCGGTATTTTATCGAATCACAAATCTATGTTTCCTGGGCTACTCAATGGTGTTTTTTATTTCAAAAAATAATATTTTAGCGGTTTCTTAAAAATTAAATAAATTTATTTTTTGAAGTTTGTAATAGTTAGTATTTAATTAATCATGCATTAATGACTCATCTCGCTTTTCGTGTAACTGAGCACTAACTGTTTAGAGCAGGTACAACAGCAGACTATAAGCCAATTATAAATATATTTTAAGGAGATAAAATATGAGAGAGAAGAGTAGTGGACTACAGATTTGAAGCCAGCTGTAGCACAGACTCCAAGATGCAATGTGTGTATGACAGGTAGGACCGGTTATTAATAGTGTAGTATGTAACTATTGTATGAATTGGCTATTAAGTTGACTATAGATGATTTTGAGCTAGTAGTTGGTTATACTATTAAACTTGCTCTTAGAACGGTGCCTAATAAGTGGACATGACGCATGACTCCAACACTAAATTAGTACTCCATCCGCCAAAAATATAAAAGATTTTGGGTGGAGAGAACGTATAATATTACTACAAATCTGGATAGGTCCACATTCGTAATACTATGATACGTTACATCCACTTAAAATTTCATATATTTTAGGACGGAGGAGTAGTAATAAAAAGACAAGTCAATGGTGTACTCAGCCACCATTACACACTACTGCACCATCTTTTTTAATAATAGAAATGTACTCCATCCGTCTTAAAATATAACAACTTTTAGTCCTCAACATTTGTCCCAAAATATAACGACTTCTCCACTAACATCCTCTTTCCAACAAATCACAACCCTCCACCATTCACTTTTCCCACCTAGCTCTACTACTCAACCAATCACAATCTTCCATCGTTCACTTAATTTTTATAAGTCACACAACCAATTAATTTTTATTGAAATAAATAAAGAAAGTGGTGAGACAAATCCCAGCTACCTTTAAGAAATATAAGCTGACATGCTAAAAGAATCACATAGATTATAATAATTAAATTGATATATGTTATACCACTCAATAATGGAATAAAATCTCCTTGGCAGCTGATTACAATAGTATAACATCATTACAAATAATATCCTACTCCTTCTGTAATAGCATCATATACCAATAATGAAACCAATTGGAACACTAATGTACCACATGTATACAGTGTGGCAACCAAAGCAAAACATTTCCATCCCTCTCATAAAGTCACAACAAACACATAATTTAATTAATTAAAATCATGCCCCCCCATGGCCGACACACGCGAAGAAGAACATCCCTGGACCATCTAAACATCTAGAGGCATCGACATGCGCACACACGCACACCATACTCATATCCCCACGATATATAAAAGCTTCAGAACCGTTGGATATATTCGTCGAATGCAAAGCATGCATATGTTTAAATTCGATCTAGTTTCTAGCGGTTTTTGGGCAGAAAGTACACTGGCATCCCAAATCAAGGCAAACGACGGTCGAAAGCTGCGAAGGAGCAGGTTTCAGAGGGCTATTGTTGGTGCATAGTGGGATGCATGTTTTGATATCGTCGCAATACGCTGGGAAGAGTATCATTTTGCAGTCAGCATCAGATAATTTTCCATCAGCCATCGCCAGATCTGTGAAAACATGCATGATCAGAACGAAATTAACCAGGGATTGAGAAAGTAAAATTTGCTGTTAAACATCATGTATATGCAGAGGAAATTAATACATGTGTGTGCAAATCTGCAGGTTTACCTCCTGATGATAGCACCAGGAGGAGAAGGCTGAAGATCATCATGTGACTAGTCCTCATTCCTTGTTCTGAAAAATTCTGCAGTTTATTTGAAGATCAATGGCCTTGTTCTTCAGACTGCAGTCTACTTTGTGGTGATCTAATGGACTGGAAATTGTATTTTTTTTTATAGAGGACATGGTACATTGTCATTTGGGAATCGTATCAAAGCGCAAGATAGATATGGTAATGGATATGTGCACATAAATGCTCATATCTCATTATTTGGAAGACAATAAATGCATATCCGCGCTCATAGAGAAATATAATAATTGGCTTCTCACCTCTTTAGGCTTCTATATATATGTATTTCTAGATGTTAAAATAGAAATATAATAATAGTCTTCTCACCTCTTTCGGCTTCTAAGATGTATTTCTAGATATTAAAATAATGAATATATGTACTAATATAAAATGAACCAGGTACTCCACACACTACTGATCTTATTGGAGAACTGATCTTTACTCGGATGGTAAAATAAAAATCACATTTGTCTCGATTCAAATAGGAATCGGGACTAAGATCATTTTTAGACACGGTTGAATAGCTGGCCATGCTAGCCCCCCAACGATTTTGTCTAGCTCTCTATTTTTTATTAATCTAATTCAGGTGGGGAGTCCCCCCCCCCCCCCGGTGTTCCTTCTAATATATATATATATATATATATATATATATATATATATATATATATATATAGATCTTTACCAACCTCTACGGGGTTAGTTTAAAAAGAAAGCATCTATATCTAAGTTAGATGTGTGCAGTAGGTGGAATGGTAACACGCGTGAGGTTAAGGTGAGAGATCTTGAGTTCGAATTCCATATCCCAAACATTCTTTTTTTGACTTGGTATAAGGTGAGAGATTTTGAGTTCGAATTCCATATGCCAAACATTCTTTTTTTTGACTTGGTATGTATCTTTAGTCCGGTTATTTCAATCGGGATTAAAGAAACGTCTGCAAGTACACGGGGCAAAAAGGGAAAACACCAACATGTGAACTGATTTTTTTTTATCAAAGGGCCTTGGCCCTCCATTTCCATTAAAAGAAATGACAGTTTACAGCAGAAGAAAAAAACAGAAAACACAATGCGTTCAGAGTTTATAAAGCGAAACAAACATTTCAACAGTTGACTCTCCTAAACAGGCTAACATTGTGCCCTTCTATCCAAAAGCTAGACGTTTCTCTCCTCTCTTCTAATCTGATCAACTACTTGTAATTCTTCTGAAGCTGGCGCGCCACCCATGTCGTGAATTGAACACCTCATTTGTGACCTGCTTTAGCAATTGGATTCCCCGTCGCAGTTTTTCTTGATTTCCCACCTGTCTCTGCAGAATAACCCAATCATGTATCCATGAGCACGTATTCGAATAAATACGTATGGGCTACAGGCGTGTTTGTGGCCCGAACTAGGCGCGCGAATGAGCGCCCACAAGAGCTCTCGTAGCCTGAACTTCAAGCCGAACAAAATGTACACACAATAATACTCATGTTTTTATTTGATGTTGGTTAGTTACCAATGACAAATAAATGAATTATAAAATGAGAGGAAGATGATTAATTGAAACTTAGCTAAAGATAACTGAAGTAATTGTATTCACTATTTTGCAGTTCATGAATCTTGGTTCAAACCAGGCTTACAAATTTGATTGTTTATTGAAGATCGACCCCCAATCGAAACACCCATTTTTTTTTTGTTAATTTTGAATGAGTTTCAAGATATTACCATTCGAGATGCACATTTTGCGACTTGAGGTATTCAAAGTTCACGAAATTCGTCAAGAGTCCAAACTGTGAACCATGGTTCAAACAGTAAGATCTCCACCTCTACGACGAGAGGTATAGAGTAACCAAACAGTTTCAATTCTATTAAAAAAAAGGAGTGAAGAATGCTAGAGTGCTGTAACAAAATGGACTAGAGATTTAGAGCAGAGTCTAGGCTACTTCACAGATCAACTCCAAACTCAACTTCATAAGTTAAACTTTATTTTTTTTAATCTCGAGGATATCATCATTAATAAATACCTCCAGATAAATCCACGAAGATCAGATCAGTTACAAAGCGCGGTGCATGGCACCAAAACACATGGGGGTCGTTGGACAAAACAATACCTTTTCCAAGACAAGGTAGGAGTTGGCTATCTAATTCAATTTCTCTCTAAAAAAAAAACAAAGAAATAAGACGATATCATTGGGCCAGATAAAAGCAAAGTCCATCATCCAGCCCATCTAACGGCCCAAACTTCTCCTCTTCTTCCTCCCTCGCCGCCGGCAACCCCCCGCGCCGCCGCGATTCGGTCGCGTCCACCCTAAGCCTCAGCCAACTCCGGCGAGGCTTGATCCCTTGCACGGGCGGCGCGCGGGCCTGCCCCGTAGGCCAAACCTCGACCCGCCCCCGCCGCCCGCTCGCCGGCGGCGCCGGGGCGGGGGTTATCCCCGCTCGGCGCGCTTTCTCCAAGAAACGTGCGGGCTTCGAGGGCTTCCATCTTCTACCAGGAGCCGGTTGAAAGGCGGGATTCCTCTTCCCCTTCTCGGCGGCGGCCGGTGATTCGCGTGGGGAGGCAAGATGCTGGGGTTCTCCACCGGCCAGCTCGTGGTCATCCTTGGGGCGTGCTCCCTCATGATGAGTAAGGGCTGCATCATTTAGTCCTTTAGTGGTGTTGGATTTGGGCTCGATTGTAGTTGTAGTAGTAGCTGATTAGTGAGGAAAAGAAGAAGGGGATTGTTGGTAGAGTCGAGCTTGATGTTGTGATGGAAATGCACATGCTTAGGAGGTTTAATTTCTCCTTGTGCTCAATGCTATCTGTTTGTTTGCTGCTGTTAGAGCGCAGCGACATGATCAAGATCGCGAGGGTGGCGGGGAGGATGACCGGGAGGGCGGTCGGGCGCCTCATGTTGTTTCGCAGGCAGATGGATGAGATCCTGGAGCAGACTGCAGCAAAGCAGGTACTATGCAACTCTCCCAAGCCTAGAATCACCTCTTGTGTTGTGAGACAATTGCAGGACCTCACTCTTACACCCATATTTTGCTAATTGTTGCACTGTGTCACGTCTATGGTGTGCACTAGCATTTTCAGTTTTTAAATCTGCTGCTTTGTGCTCACCTTATTTAGGACATACACTCAGAGGTCCCTTTTCGACGTCCGCATAGTTTTTTTATTGACAGGCTCTTGTTAAACTACATTCCTAGCTACAACCAGCCTGCCGATGAGAACTTTTCAAGCTTTGCAGCAAGCTTATCTCTCAACAAACATGTATCAATGTCATGTTCAGAATCGTTGTTTTTTTGACGTAAGAAGGTAGGGCCAGCTCTACCTTATAGCCATTTCATTGATAGAAATGAACGATTACAGAGTTGCCTGAAGAAGTGGTGAAGACAGGGGGAGGAAATAAAGAAAAAGAAAGGATATAGAAGGGGGAAGAATGTACAAAAATTTACAATAAGCTAAAACTGCATTAACCTCTGATTGTCTCAGACCAGAGGTTGATTTTTGCTTTGGCATCTGGATTGGCCCGGTTATTCCATAAGTCTAGAGTGCTGATGATTTTTTGAATTACATTTGAAAGACCTGTTTGCTGTCCTTCAAAAATCCTGTTGTTTCTTGATTTCCAAAGTGTGTGTGCACAGGCTGCAAACCAAATGGGCTTTATGCCTTGATTGTTGTGATAGCTGACAGTAACTTTCTCCAGGAAATTTGGGGCTGATTCTGCCAAATTAGATAGATGCAAAAGGCCTAATTTCTTCCATAAGTTGTAGCTGCCTTGCATCTTAGGATGATGTGGTCTGCACTCTGCAGTTCCTATTGCAGGGCAGATATCGCAGTGAGGGTTGTTGTCCCAGTTCTTCTTCTTTACCATGTTTCCTTTAGTGTTTAATTTATCCTTGAAAGCCAACCAAAGGAACATTTTGCAATTGCTGGGAATTACTTGGAGCCAGATATAATCAGCTGGTTTCCACTTTCCAGAGTGATCCATGGTACATTAGGAGTTGGTATGCATTTGCAGTGGATATATGAGTTCTCTGGTATAGGAGTTCCCTCTGATCCGCCGTTTTTGGGCGAGGTATTAGGTTTTGGAGAATTTCTTGAACCTCATGCGGCTCTAATTGTGCTTGGCAAGAAAGATTTGGATTGTCACCACCTTAAGTTAGCATCACTATCTTTCCCACCCAACTGGTCAGAGGCTTAGTGCCAGCTCCAAGATCTATAGCTCTACACAGGTTCAGACTCTATGACTGACATCAGTTCTTGCAAAGCTGCACTCCACTTTCTGCACCCCAGGCTTAAGTTTGTCATCCACATCAGCGAAACGTTCAGGGAAATTTGCTTATCAAAACCTTGTTCTAGCCACTTGTATTGCCACTGCAATATTTTGTGAAATTAAGTCGATGAACCAGATATGAAGTATGAACTAACTAAATTAACATTCATTCTAGAGCATCATTGGCAGCCCCAAGGTGCAAAGATTGATCAGAATCAACTCACTGAAGTATAAATTGCACAGATCTAGATATTCAGATAACATCAAGTAAACCAAATCATCGAGTATACAAGCAGGAAACCATTTAGCAGTGGCATTCAAGAATTTGATCCGAGACAAATAAGAGGAGCAATAATATCAAACCTAGGTATGAATGGTTCAATCTGCGACGGCTGGGGCCGCTGCCACCTCGACAACTTGAGTGGTGGGCACTGTGTGGGGGATGTTGCTTGATGTTTCACGGCTGTGGCCATGACAAGCACTACTCTGCTGTTGTCACTTGTCAGCAGCATATATTATCCAGATCCGGCACACTGTCAACTCGACGGCAGCCGCTGTGGACTTTGATCAGTGGTGAGCCGGCGACATGCTCAGTTTCGTGGAATGGGAGGGAGTTATGTGCTTGGGAGTTGGGATAAGACGGTTTTGATAATCGCACCGTCAGATGCATCATCACAAAGTTCACAACAGAACGAAAAGCTGGATAAAGAACAAACAAGCAAGCAAGCAAGCAAATAATTAGCTAAACAAATACTCCTACATGCATGTCATTGCTCAAAAGGGAATGGTGAATTAGTGTGAGTTACCGTTGTTAACTTGAGTGTGGGGTTGTTGGGATTCATGTTGACCGCTTCCCGGATTGCAGCTTCCGCAGCGTTCACCTCCCATCTGTTGGCGTCGGAATAATTGACGCAAACATCTAAATGCTCAACTGAGATCTTCTCCAGTCCAAAGTCGAAATTACCAAACTGATCCACTGTTTTCCGCACTCCAAATCCAAAGCGTAGTTTTTGGAGCTTTTGCATGGGTCCTTGTGCAAACGCCACCTCCATGTTGTTAGCCATCAGTTTAAGAAATGTTAGACAGTGGAATGGATAACAATTGTCGATGACCAACCTTTCATGTCTGTCTTGCGTGGGCTCATTCACCCATAAGGTAAGATCACTAAGAGATGGCATGTTCCCAAGGATTTGGAGGTCCTTATGCCCCAATGTTTTCAACTTGATGTCTAGGGATGAGAGGAAGGACAATGAGGACATCCAGATTGGTACTGAATTGGCCACACTCCTGTTCATGTCGATGTCTTCAAGCTGTTGTGGTCCCGGTGATAAATTCTCACATTTGGAATCCATGACTCCCTCATATACACGTACGGTTATTGATCTGAGATTGACCAGGTTGGATAGGCACAACTCAAAAGATTTCTGGTAGCTCTCGTCCCATTCATGAAATCGTATTGACAAATGCCTCAGCTTGGTCAGACCACCCATATTGCGCAGCATGGTTGGAGACATGACATAGATATGTGGCCATATACTTTGTAGAGTTTTCAAGTTCCCAAAATCATCCGGTAATCTCATCCCAGGGCCAACACACAGGTCCACCAATTGTTGTAATTGCACAAAGGTTGATGGCACTTCCCTTAGTCTAGTTTTAGTTATGTCCAATACCAGCAAGAACTGTAAATTACCAATCTCTTCTGGAATCTCAGATATAGATGTCCTATGTAGATTCAAATACCTCAAGTGAAGCGTATTGCAAATATCCCTACAATGACGATTATCCACTTGATCACAACCACTTAAATCCAACACACGTAACACCGGAAAGCTCGAAAGGTTTGGTAACAGACTGAATGCTTGCTTGGACACAATCAGTGATCTCACATGGGATAGGTCCGCATTTGAAATTAGCTTGAAGTACTCTTGTTTGATAGATTGGAGGGATAGTCGGCGGATCTTGTGAGGTACTAGCATTGGCTGCTGATCACCTAATGATGTCATAAATTGCTCTTCGTTCGACAAGAAGGTGATGAGGTCAAGCACCATATCATGTAGACAATAATCCCATGGCATGTTATCACAATTAGATATTGGCTGTATCAAGCTTTTGTTCCAGAGCTCATTTAAATACTCCATTCCAACAACATGCAAAGTCTTCATGTGTTCAGCACGCACAAAACCTTCACATATCCATTTCCATATCACATCTTTGTTGCCAATGTTAGTATCCTCCGGATAACAGCTTAGGTACAATAAACAAGCCCTCAAATGTGGTGGTAAATTATAGTAACTGACAGACAATATCTTTCTCATATTATTCACATGAAGATTATCTTCTAGCCCAGAACCAATAGAATGGTACACCTTGGACCAGTACTCTAATATATTATCCCTATCGTTTTTACTGGCCAGTAGACTAGCTATTGTAATGATAGCTAATGGTACACCACCACATTTCTTTAAAATGCCTTCAGACACTACAGCTAATTGAACAGGACATCTGCCTTCAGCACCAAATATTTTTTGGTAAAACAACTTTCTTGAAACAGCAGGAGAAAGAGGTTTTAGTTGGTAAACACCTCCAACTTCTTTGGCAACATCAAGAATCTGAGTTGTTGTAATTATTTTACTTCCACATTCATTTCCAAGGAAAGTATATTTGATTGTTTCCCACACAACATTACTCCATATGTCATCAATAACAATAAAATACCTATTTGGGAATACGAAAGGAGCATATATTAGAAAATCTCTTTCAAAAGCTATATAGGTTTCTTTGAGAACTATATTCGCGTGGATTAATTTATGAACCCACAAAGAAATCATTCATTACCTCTTGTTTTGAAGGAATTCCCGTATTTCGTTGATAAGTTGTGCTTCACCCCATGATGCTTTGGTCACGTGACTGTATTTTTCCTTGTCTAGTTGACAGAGCATGTTGCTGAAAATCTTCTCCATGTTGGGGTTAAGTGACATGGTAACAAAGAACCCACAAGCGAATTGTACTTTAAGCTTTTCATACACTACTTTAGCTAGTGTTGTCTTGCCTAATCCACCAAATCCTACAATAGAGACTATCTTCAGTTCTTGCTTGTCCCCCTCCATTAGCATCTTGACTAGCTCGTCGCTCTTCTCTTCGATGCCAACGAGTTCTGTCATCTTCTTGTACAAAGCTGATAGGCGAAGGCTATCAACAGTTGGACTAAATGGTACGGTAACAACATTGTCAACCTTGTATCTATCACGACGCTCACTAATCTCCTTAATACGGCTTTTGATGTCTTTGATATCGGTGCCGATGGAATGGCGGATCTTGGCCTTTGTCAGCAGGTCTAGGCTTCTATCAATGAAGTCCCTGAAGCTATGCAGCTTGTGAGGTGCGGCATGGGTGTCAATGCGCACCATGAACTTGTCAATGCTGTCCTCGATGTTGTAGGACAGCTCCCTGACGTTCCTCGCCCAAAGCTTGACTTGATTATTAGGCGGCTGATCAATTGGTGCCTCAGAGACATCAAGCAGCGCTGCCTCCATGCTCTCCAACTCAGCTTTGAGGAACATGATCTCGCCCCTGACGCTCTTCTGCAGCTGGTACTTGTAACATCCTGAAAATCCCTGACAATAAAAATCACTAAAATTTCAAACTTTTTAAAACTTTTGCATCATGCTGGTTGTTATGATTCCTATTGCTTGCCAAACCGTAAATGATCACCAAGAAGGTAAAGAAAAGAACTACATTTAAGCAATAGATATGATTTATGAGAATATATTTAACCCTACGAATAATTATGTGCAAGATATTAAAATCAAATAAAATAAAAGTTATTATTAACCTATTTTATCAAATATTAAAATATTTGAATAATATAGGTGGGTGCCATAATACGAGTACACATGAAATGATGATCATTCAAATGAACTGAGCTCTCTGTATATATAATAGAATTACGGGAGTATTTAATTCGATATGTAGATCGATTTTGCACCAAGTTCCTAATTGCATTTAGGGATTGAAATTTGATATATTAAACCCCTCCATATAAAATAAACTAACATATAGATAAATTGAGCTAATGTGCTATTATGTTAATAACGGTCTCATTAGAAAATTATAGAATCTTTAATAAACCTTAAAAACAAATTGGTAAAATAAATATAAATTAAAAATAAAAGATTAGGTATGGATAGTAATAAATAAAATATTATCGCGACCATATTTGGATCAATTAAATTTAATTGCGATAGAATAAGAATTTACCCTAATTAAAACTCAAATAAATTATATAAACAAAATATGAGTGATATCAAATTAAGGAGAATTTTAGTTAGGATAACACAAATATGGGATAAACTTCATTTATACAAGATTTAGAAATTATGAAATCAAATTTATATTGAAAATAACCTAAAATCGGGAATAATAGGAAAGTGCACTATTCATTGCACATAAGGTGTTTGATGGAGTTCCTAGCCATCCTAGCCCTTCCCCCTCCTCTGCCACACCGCGCCTAGCCGTCCTCGCGCCCCACGCCGCCGCGGGCCGTCACCATCGCCGTCGCCGTCGAGCCGTCGCGTCGCCGTTGCCCGTCCCGTCGCCATCGTGCCCCCTGCCCCGCCGCGCGCCCGTTCCATCTCCCCTCCGCGCGTCACGCCCCGTCGCCATCACGTCGCCCGTCGCCGTCGTGCCGCCATCGCCGCGCGCCAAGCCCCGCGCCGCGCCGCGCCGTCCCATCGCCGCGTCGCCGTCGCGTCGCCCGTCGCCAGGAGCTGCCGCCGCGCCTTGAGCCCAGTGCCGCCGCGCGCGTCACGTCGCCGCCCCGAGCCCCGTGCGCGCCGTCGCGTCGCCATTAGGGCCGGCCACCCCCTCCCCGCGCCCTATAAAGTTTCCCCCCGGCCACCCCTTTCCACCCCCACACCATTTCCCCATTCCCCTCTTCCTCCCCTCTTTCCTCTCCACCGCGTCGCCGCCCTCGTGCCGCCGCGCCGCCGCCCTCAGTACCGCCGCGCCGCACCGTGTGCCGCGCCGTGCGCCGTCGTCGCCGCCGCCGTCGGTGAGCCGCTGCCCCCCCCTTTTTTTTTTCTTTGTCGCCACGCCGCTCGGGTAGGAGGGAGAGCCGAGAGAGAGATAGAGCCGGGAGAGAGAGAGAAAAAGAGGAAAAGAGAGGCCGACAGAGAGAGAAAGAGAGAAAAGAAAGAAAAAGGGAGAGAAAGAAAAAGAAAAGAAAAGAAAGAGAGGGAGAGAAAAAGAGGGAAAATAGAAAAGAAGGGAAGGAGAAAATAGAAGGGAAATTGAGGGAGAAATTAGGAGAATTTAGGAAATAAACATGGTCGGGGTTAATCATAGATTACTTTTGGAGAATCCTCGAGCGTAATAGTATTTCGATCGAAATTCCGAGTTAATTATAAATATATGTTTCTTGATCAGATTAGATTAAAATTGGTAGTAATTTAGAATATAATTAATAACCAAACAATTAGATGAATTCTTATAGATTATTATAGATTATTTTTGGTAATTTCTATAAGTCATCAGTTCACGGTAGAAATTCGGATTCAATTACTAGGAATCTTAGCCGCCGTGTATTATATTTAATCGTTTAGTCATAGACTAAATTAAATTGTATAATATTTCTAAGATTTCGTCCGATATTTAGCTCGTAATCGAAATTTCTAACCTGTTATATGGATATAATGCTCAGGATGAGTAATTTAAAAAAACTTATGACAACAAAATATTTATACCCGCAAAATAGTTTAAATCGAAATTGGGTTTGCCGTAGTTCGCAGATAGTGAAGTTAATAAAAAGGAATCGACTTTCGCATTCGACTTTTACTCGGATTTAAGTGAAACTTGAACCTAAATTTATCTAAATTCATAAGCTTTCCAATGATATATAATTCACTATTTAACAAAATATATTTATAATTATAAATTAATTAATATCAAATGATTAGATAATAGTTAACCTAAATAGTGTGCCAATAAATAAAAATGGATATTGTACAGTAGAATAATTATCTTTAATATATTCTGTCACTATAGCAACCACATAAATTAAGTATAATCAATGTTTGAAATTAATGGATATATATGAAAATATTAGTGCCATTTATTAATCTATGTCCAAATATAATTAAAACCCACGACGTATTAGTTATTTAAATAGAGTTAGCCTTATAATTATTAGGTAAGTAAAATATAGATACACATAGATCGGTCCTAAGCTTGTTTATGGCAAATAATAATAGAGCTAGTGTGATTAAATCACCTATATAAAATTAATCAACGACATATCCCATATAATAGCATATAGTAGGCAAGGTGAGCAACCCTTAGTTAACCAAGCAGTAAATAGGAACTATTCAAATAAAGGATTCAATATATTAAGATATTATGCACACATATACTATACATCCCATTATAGTGGTACAGTATAGTATTAATTTGCGTGTTGCATAAATTAAATTAAGAGGGAGTGTATGACAAACATGTATATTAGATAAATACTAGTTATAAACCTTGACCTCATATAATTATAATTATAGTTCAACTGTAAATTAGGATTATTCATTGTAAAATTATGTGATGGGATAATCTGTACCCATAATATGATTAACCTGAACAACTCTAACATACAAACCATGGGTAATTATTAACCTTTTATAATTTATTGTGACAAGTAAAATATGTTCATAATTAAAGTAAAGCTTCCATCAATAAAATAAATAATACAAAGGATTCACTGTAATTATTTGACCGATCCAAAATCCATCCGGCAACAGAACCTCTAGTGTATAACCGTTCTATTTAGATAGATGCATGTGTAACCATAATCCTTCCTTAGCCATTAGCTAGACTGAACCACCATGACAACAGAAAGACTAAGAAACCCTAGCTCTTAGCTTGATTAGAGTCCATTAGCAAGCGCGAATAATATGAGCAACCTTAGGTTCGACCTCAGCAAATATATTTTGTTTGTGCATATTTGATTGTTGCTTGAATATTGGTTTTTCTCGCGTATTATAGACTTTGTGTATCGGTTAGTCGTGAGGCAACGTCTGCAACTTCCAGGAGGTGAAGGTTGATCAAGATTATATCAGTAATAAGGATTATCCTGAGCAAGGCAAGTCATCACTATTCCTTGAACATGTTGATCCCAGCTGCGAAATTATTTTGTTTATAAATAAAATTGCATGCAATGATGAATATCCTACTTGGGATTATGCCATGCCTTGATTATTGTTTACCCTTAGATCTTTGTAACCATGTCTACGTATGAGTCCCTAATCAATTATGACAATTGCTTAGAAATGCTATTCTAGAATCATGCATACTCATATTTATCAAATGCTATATGCTTGGGCAATTACCTTTGGGAAGGTAATTGAGATGCGGCATGTGGAGACATGAGCACCACATTGCCATGATGTTGATGACATGATTTGTGAAAGGAGAAATAAAATTAAACAAATGTTTTCGACTGGGGCGGCTGGAGGACTTGGGTGGTGTCCGGTAAAGGCTAGTGCCGTCCCTAGTCAGTTAAGGACCGAGCCATGAAGTTAAACATGAAACGACCTCAGTACAGCCGTACTTCTCGAATGGGTATAGACCTAGCGGAGTAGATAGCCGAGCGGAGGCAGTATCCCTGCATAGTGGTTTCACTTAGGTGTGTGGACGAACAAGCAGTCTGCTGGCGGATACCCGATACGGATGGCCAAATGGCGGATACCCGATACGGATGGCTAGAGACTGACTTGGCAAGACTACAAGACTACAATGAGATACCCAAAAGGGGACAGCATGGATTGGGTTCAACTACAGAATGCGATGTTAGGCTTGCGTGAGTTTTCCCCCTCGGGAGCGCCAGAACTCCTCTCACTGCTAGAAACCGTGTACGCCTAGAGTGCATGAGGGCTTAAGTTCATGGAGCGGATACTGCCAAAGTGAGGTTATTGAAAGGCTTTGCCGTGGCAAGTCTCATTCGTTGGGACGTAGGCTCATGTGTTGGGTAAGTTGCGGAGTACGGGTAAAGTGTACATCCACTGCAGTGTGAGTAAACCAAATCTATTCGAATAGCCGTGCTCGCGGTTATTGAGCACCGGGACATGTATTACACTTGGCTAGACTCTAAATTCTTAACTTGTGTGGGATGGGTTATTGCATGATGAATTTTATGCTGATGGAGCCACTTCCCGAGAGGAGGGAAGGTGGACATCCTCAGAAAACCATGACGATTCAATGGCGGGAAGCTATCCTTGGGATCACAATGGATGGTGGACAGAACCGTCGTTGTTTAAAGTGAACACTGGTACTAAAATTTGATCAGTCTATGCTAGGTTTTAGGCTTGTGAAAAGAATTGTAAAATTAGCTTTATGCAAAAGAACCTGAAGCCATTCCTTGAAATACCCTCTGTCATATGCATTGTTGTTGTGGTGGCTTGCTGAGTACGGTTGGTACTCACCCTTGCTATTTATATATCTTTTAGGAGAGTGTTGAAGAGAAGCCCTTGTCGGTACGCTTGCGTATCCCACAAGATGATCGGAGTGCGGTCTTGTTCTAGGTCTCGTTCCCCAGTCGACTGCCTGTGGCATGTTAACCGGGCCCTTATATTATTTTGTCTTCCGCTGTTGTTCTCTGATAGTTGTTGGCCTACCTGGCCCTAATGTAAGTATTTAACTCTTTTAGCCTAAATTCATTCGTGATATGTTGTGATCCAACTATGTATGTGTGTACCAACTACTGATCCAGGGATTGGTACGGATAAACACAGAGGATTTCCGATTTCCAAAATCGGGGGTCTACAGTACTCCTCCCTCAGCAGCTCTCCCAGCTTGGGCAGGAGGGTGCTAATCGCTCCCGTCACGATCTCCATTCTCGATCACTCAAGCTCTTCTCAATGATGTTTCAAGTGCAGGGATGACGACTGCAGGTAACCGTGGAGTTGGTAACATGAGCAGATGAGCTGTTGTCTTTTATAGAAACAACCTACTAACTGATGTGATATTGGGCAGGAGAAAGGTTGCCGGGCTAAAAAGTCAGGACAAGGTTTGTATCCAAAATATTGAAGTCAATGTGTGGCATGCCAGCTTGAGTTGGATCGATCGATACATCAAGCTTCATTCCCGGTCATACCAACTGCTCTACTTAATTCAGTGCACGTACGCCATTGTATTCTAACTGGTAATATACTGTGGATTTTAGCCTGTTTTGTGCAAAACTGTATAAGGAACTATGGGCTCCTTTATCTTACTCCCTCAGGTTAAATATTATTTGACATTCAGATAGCAAATTCGTACTAAAATCACTCATTAATTTTATGCCCTCAACGTCATATAAAAGTGATTGGGGGGGGGGGGGGGGGAGTACTGGACTTTCTCGATGTACTTGCGTACCTCAGTATAAAAATGCATGTTGTTTGCGTTTTCTTTTTCCATTTGTATTACAAAATGCATATCATGCGAGATGACTTTTTACAACTTCCCCTTCCATATGTTTGTTTATACTATTGTCTATAGGTACTTGAACTTTGTATTTTCTCACTAGAGTTAAATTTCCACTATATGCTATTTATTTACTGCTGTTTGTCTATCAATCTACCATGCATATGCTAGTATGCTACATTTGTTGGGAGGAAAATACATATGGATGCAAATGTGCAGGTTTAATTACCTGAAGATAGCACCAGAAGGACAAGGCTGAAGACGTGAGGATCATCATGTTGCTAGTCTTCATCCTTTGTTCTGAAAACCTCGCCGTGTTGTATGAAGATTAATGAAGGCATGTGCTTCAGATTGATGGTGACTTCTGACTGTCTACTTTTGGTGATCTAATGGACTAGGCAGTGTTTTTGTAGAGGATATATATGGTACATTATCATTTGGGGGATCAATTGAAAGCACAAGATAGATATGGACATATGTTAACATATATGTGCAGACAATGACCATATCTCATTGTTTAGACAACACCGACTGGACATGCTATGTAGCATATCTACTGAACACAATCAAATTCTGGTCTATGGAAACAGAAATTCATAGACCGCAATATGATTGCCCTCTATGAAGGTTATATAGGGCCTGTTTGAGATAGCTTCTCCTAGAATCTCCAGTTTGTAGAGGTTCTCTCAAACAGTTTAAATTTTCACCCTGATTTTAAGAAGTTATAGTTGTAGAATCTATAAAATGAACTAGAAATTGGGTTTTCCAGCTTTTTCAGATTCTCATCAGCTACTTGTCAGAATTTTAAGTTTCTCTAAACAGGGCCATAGCCTGTTAGAAACGTGGTGTGTGGGGCATGTACACGTAATGATGTATGTGCATTTCTATTGTAATCTAGAAAAAATATGCAACCCCGATTTGAGTGCTATAGTTTGAGGCGAAATTCAAAGTTCACATTTTTTTTTCTTGGAGTAAATTTCATAAAAAAAAAAACCTCCAAATTCCAAACTCCAAACCTAAGGTGTTAATTTTTGCTTGTGACAATAACCTCAAACTTTGTGATTGACTTGAGAAGACAAAATATGAGTCACATGTTTCGTTTTCCTGAGTCATCAAGGTTAATTTTGCAAAAAGTCATTGTCATGATACTCCCTCCAGTCACAAACAGGATACTTTTTGGACATGTCATCAACACATTTAAAGTTTCACCATCAATATATATCTCTCTAAATAAATTCGACTCCACTTAAATGATGTGGTTTGATTTGTCTTCAAACATACTTCAAAATACTATAACTTCTATTATTCTATATATTTATGGATTTTATAATAGTAATTAACAATCAAACTAGTGTTTTCATAGCCATGTCGATATCCAAAACAACACTCAACCAGGGAGATTACATATTTATTCGATTTTCTGCGCCAAGAAATTGAAATTTGGTGAGGACGATACCATGCATGGAGAAAAGAGCTGAGGGCAATGGCGTACCTACCCCGGTAAATTATTCAATTACAACTAATTTATACTATCTTAATCAATATATTCAATAATTAGATAATCATTATGTGTAGGATCCTCGGTAACTTTTATTTTGGGTTTGCCACTGGCTGACGGGGTGATCAAAGTGCAACAGAATGAAACTTTACTTGATAATAAAACATAAATACATCACCTAAAGGATGATAAATTGAGAGTTTGTTAAAACAACTAGATTAGCATATGCCTATGCTTATGCTTATCAGCCAAAATTTAAATTTTTAATCTTAAATTTGGAGTTGATTTTGAGATTTTTTCATCAAAGTTTATTTTTCAGCCTTTGCTTTTAGATTGCTAAGAATACGTATATAAAAGTTTTATTCACGAATTTCTTTTCGCTTGCCGTTTCGCTTGGCTCCAGCAATTCACTCTTCGGCACGAATTCATCTTCCTCAAAAGGAAAAAGTACACCGAAGGTCCCTCAACTTATCATCGGGATAAAAAACGTCCTCGAACCACAAAACCAGATATGCGAGGTCCCTCGACTATACAAAACCGGTCACCCGAGGTCCTTCGATGGTTTTGACCCCGGTTTTGGTCTACATGGTGGCTGAGTCAGCGTGGGCCCCACATGTCAGCATGCCACGTCATCTATCTTTTACCTTTTCTCTCCCTTCCTCAGATGGGGCCCACTTGTCAGGGGTATCTTCTACCTCCTTGGCTCCTTCCCTGCACCAACACAGAGAGGAGAGGGAGAGGTAGCTGGGGAGGAGGCCGCCGGGGTGAGGCGGGAGAGGAGGGCGGCGCCGCGACGGCGGCCGCACTGGAGGGCTGGTCGATGCCGAGGACCGCGTACCAGTTGGGGCAGCCGGGGTTGGCGGTGGCGATGTTGCCGGTCCTCGGCTCCATGGCCTCTTGGTTGGCTACCGCCATGGCGAGTAGCTAGCTAGCTCCTCATGCGCGCTCAAGCCGCTGCCTGCCGCCACGTGCACTGCTGCTCCGCCGCCAGGAGAGAGGGAGGGATGAGCTTGAAACAGCGACGACCTCCGCCGCGGGAAACAGCGACGAACGGCCGCAGCCTTAGCGCGAGCCGACGCCTGTGCACGTGAGGAGCGCGAGCCGGCGCGTGAAGAGGAAGGTGGTGCGGTGAGAGCGGTAGGCGGCGGCATCGGCCTCGGGGGCACCGCCAGCTGAGACCCCGCCTCGTCAACGCGTCGGCGGCGGCGGCGGCGCGAGGATCGTTCGACGGCTGCTGCATGGAACAGAAGAAGCATCGGTCCATATTCCAAAATCCCTCTTGTGAGCATCTCTAGCTAAACGAATTCACGAACTAAAGAAAAAGAATTATTTTTTTTCTCTTAATTCGCGCTTACCAAGAAAGCAAGAACGCTAATTCACGCATTTCTCAATTCTCATGGAGAATTACAAGGTGAGATCCAAGCTGCGAAGACGACGACGACGAGGACGACGACCGCGACAGCCGCGATCCGGGTTGCGCCACCGCGGCAGCGGTGCCGCCTACCCTGTTCCCTCTCCTTACCTCCACCATTGCGTCCTCCGGCCAGCGACAGCGGCGACTGCCGTTCTTGGCGCGCCAGCGGCCGCCGCCGTCCTAGCCCGAGCGCTGCCCCCAGCCGCTGCAGCCGTCGCCGTCCTAGCCCGAGCGCTGTCTCCAGCCCCGGTCGCCGCTGCCGCCGGCCACCGTCGCGGCGCCGCCCTCCTCTCCCGCCTCGCCCCGGTGGCCTCCTCCCCAGCTACCTCTCCCTCTTTTCTCTGTGTTGGCGCGGAGCCAAGGATGTAGAAGATACCCCTGACAAGTGGGCCCATCTGAGGAAGAGAGAGAAAAGGGAAAAGATATATTATGTGGCATGCTTACATGTGGGGTCCACATGGGTCCCACGCTGACTCAGCCGCCACGTAGACCAAAACCGGTGTCAAAACCATCTAAGGACCTCGGGTGACCGGTTTTATATAGTTGAGGGACCCCGCATATCTGGTTTTGCGGTTCGAGGACGATTTTGTATCCCGATGACAAGTTGAGGGACCTTCAGTATACTTTTTCCTCCTCAAAACGGGAAAAAAAAAGCCCGAATTTATTGGGCCGGGAAGGCAGTGAAAGCCCAGGGCTGAATGATCCTGCAGCAAAAGCCTGCGAGGGCCCGTCGACCGCCGCCGCCATTCCACGCTCGCCGCCGGCGGCTGGGGCTCCGCCCTAGCGAGCGTGGCATCGGCAACGCAACTCCCCCTCGAGCCGCCCCGCCGCCATCGCCGGCTGGCTCTGCCGGGTGCGCGCGCTTCCGGTCCACGCGCCGGTTGGGGATTGCCCCGTCGTGCTCTAGCTTAACCGCGATCCTGGCGCAGGGAAGGGTTGTGGGGCTAGGAGGTTGCAAGGTCGTCTTCTTCCCCCTCTTGGCGGCGGCGGCCGGTGATTCGAGGGGAAGGCAGAATGCTGGGGTTCTCCACCGGCCAGTTGGTGGTCATCCTCGGGGCTTGCTCCCTCATGATGAGTAAGGCTGCATCTTCTTGCCTCTCTCGTTTACTCTTGCAATGTTAGAATTTGGGTTCGATTTTACCTGATTACTGAGGAAAGAAGAAGGGATTGATTGTTTGGAGAGAGAGAGAGAGAGCACTGGAGTTTGGTGTTGTGATGGAAATGCACATGCTAGATGCTAGGAGGTTTATTTCTCTTTTTTGTGCTCAAATGCTATCTGTTTGTTTGCTGTTGTTAGAGCGCAGCGACATGATCAAGATCGCAAGGGTGGCGGGGAGGATGACCGGGAGGGCGGTCGGGCGCCTCATGTTGTTCCGCAGGCAGATGGATGAGATCCTGGAGCAGACTGCAGCAAAGCAGGTAATGTGCAGCACTCCCAAGCTTAGAATCACCTCTTATGAGTTGCGAGATAACTGCAGGACCTGAATCTACGCACATTTTCTTTTTCCTAATTGTTGCAATGTGTAGTTGCTCCGAATTTTGTTACGTATGAATATAGGTTGTTCTTTGAAGTTTTTGACATGAGACTTTACCTTCATGAGTTTTGCTAATTCCACTTCTAGGATGTGTAGATGAGCATGTGAAAATATTAGTAATGTGCAGTTGTGCAGGTATACAAACACAAGTATCATGTTACTTTTGCCGTTTTTCTTTCTTGCTTAGATGAAGAAACATAAATATATCCATTCCAGAGTAATGCGCCTCAGGCTCAGTGTGCCTGTGCCATGTTTATGACATGCACTTAGCACTTCTGTTTTTAAATCTGCTCCTTTGGTCTCACCTTATTTAGGATCTAGTCTTGGTTCTAGAGATACCCGGCTAACTTATTTTGTTATCAGAGCACATTTTAGAGTGAGGGGAAACCCTGCTTCATTTTTCATTATGTTAGCAGACCACATTAGCACTAAAATGCATGAAGAACTTGGCCAAGTGGAATACTGCAGTGGACAATACTTTGTAAAAAAGAAGCATCACCATTTAAGTAAGAGAATGCTGAGCACTAGAAAATTTAATTGTTGTTTATCAATGGTGTCGCATGGTATTCTTGTACCAATCATGACTTTTGGGCACTAACTCCTACAGCAGTGTAATTCTAGTGCTATGCTAAACTTGTTCGGCTCAGAGCTGTTGGTCTGTTATCTTTCCCATTTGACTAAGCAATGGCTGCCATTCTCTTCCTGTCCACCCTTCCACAAGGAGTTATTTAACCGTCCATTTCTTCAGTGTGAGGAACTGAGGACTGCAGGGTGATAAGTTTTTGGAAGAACTTCGAATCTCCACGTGGACTGTCAGATAAATTTCACCACCTCCTAGTCGCCGAAATTTGAGATGTTTATTTCTAATAATAGTTGTATTTCCATTTTGCCAAGTGTGAATGAGGGGGATATCACAAGTATTGGCATGGGGAAGAAATAGCTTTTTCCAAAAAAAAAGGTTTTGCACTTCCTCAAGGTCAAGGTCTACGTTATCTTAAGGTCTTTTAAAATATCTTTTGTTGCTTGAATTTCTTATCTAGGTTGGCTTGAATAAAAATGGCTGCGATTGGCATAAAAGGATGTCAAATTCTTTCCACCCTCTTCTTGATCTTCAGTAGTAATTGTCTATTCACACACCATTTCTAGTGCTTGCTGCAAAAGATGTGTGGCCAATAACTCAATATGGAAAGGGAGCTGCCCTGACTGAGTTCACATTTGTGAGGACTGGGGATTTGGCCATACTGGCAGCCACTGCAGAAAGATATATATCCTTGTCCAAATTTTCTTTCCACGTGGATCTCAATAAACTATTCCCAAGCAACACAGTCAAAATCTTACATTTTTTGCTATTCAGCTCTTTTTCTTTGTGCAGGATGTTGTGTTCTATATTTATTGGAAATTACCCTGGATGTGCGTTGTTTGTATGAAATCATTCTGGTTTCTTTATTGATGCTCAGCCTCTGAGATGGCTATCCAACAGTTTACGCACAAGTCCATCCAATAACTACATATTATACTAATTGACCCACCCATTGAGCCATATAAAAGTTCATGTAACATCTGGACAAAAAGAGGATTTATTCATGACTCAGAACATCATATTTAGGATCAATTGAAACTCACTATTAGCTGTTAACACAACTGAGGCTGACTGCTTACGGAATATTTGCTACTTGCTAGCTACAGTCTCACACATTATATTATAACTGTTGCATGCATTTTTTTTTGTAGACAAGGTCATTCATTTGTAATAACGATTAAAGTTTTCAATAATTTGAATGATACAGGACTGCTAACCTGTTAATAGCTCATGATATACAATTTGAGCTGAGAAACTGTATGGTACATCTCATTTTTACCATGTACAATTAAATTTGCCCCATTTTTATGCAGGTTAACAAGGAGCTTAAAGATGCTATGACACAGCTAGATTCAATTCGTTATGAAGTCCAGAACTTATCTAGGTTTACTCCTGGACAGTTCATGAGGCAGCATAACCCTGGTAAATATGATTATTTTTTATCATGCTTCCATCCCATTTATTCTAATTGGTGTTTTGCCAGTACTTTGTTTGAATTATTTGACTAATAGGATCTTTATTAACTCTTATCAGTAGGCGTGGATCATGAAGCAGAAAAAAATGATGCCGTTGATGGCTCTGCGCTTAATGTATGGTAACATCCTGTTGTCTTTTGAATTAATAAGGGTAGTTGATTACCTTTTTTTCTTTAAATGTTTAAGATTTGAGTGTATCGAAGACATAACTGCCAACCTTTTCACAGCTCATTTCAGTTTTTAAACTCTTCAATAGCATGTTGTAGTGCTAGTGTACACGAGGTAGTGCTCCGCTAGTGTCCTGCATACCATGGATAATGGCTGGCTGCTTCAGTGAATTAGATTTTATATTTTTGATATGAATGGACTGTAAGATATTGTGGATATATTCCACGTTGAATTCTTACTCCGAGACCTAAAACATACACAACAAGCATCCATAGGAAAGATAACTTATTTTTTTGCTCCAAAATTGATTCACTTATTTCGTATATTTTTGCAAATTTGCCTGAGCATGGTGTTTCTCCTATATTGCTACTAGTCACAGTCACGTTAAAAGCAGTTTATTACTATATATCCACTAGTTATTTAACACAGTTTCATTCTGTATTATATTCTCCGTGTTGAAAAATCTTCTTGATAGAATTTAATCAAGTTACAATGACTACACAGCTAGAAGAACTTCGTCATCAAATCCGCAGTATGGTTCATGATGAAATTGAAAGCTTTTATAAAACAAATCCAGATAAGTTTTCCGGGAGGTTGGATAATGCTGACACCGTTAATAGATCTGGTAATGGTGATGCCTTTTCTTGACTTAATTATCACCTCTATTATTTTCTAATTTGGTTTTACGCTATACTTTATTTGAATTCGGTGACTGATCCTTGTTCGAGATAAAAAATCGGTGACTGATCACTAATGAGACCATTACTGATATATTTGTAGGCCCAGTTGAAGGTAAAGAAGCTGATGTAGCTGTTATCCCCACAATGTTGGCATCAAAGGTACGAGAATATCATCTCTTCAATTTCAGTACAAGTGGTACCATACTAGACATTTCCTTTGTGCTTCTGTAGGACATGAAATTGGCAAACACAGGCTCTACAGATCTACACAGCAAAGCAACAATGTATTCAAGATTAACTGAATCCCCAGAAATGAGTGGCAGTTCTGGACATCAATTCAAAGAGAGTGATGGGTTATTAAATATACTACCAATATCAGCTGAAAGTGCTGGATTACTTCCAAGCCGCTCAGGTACATAAAGAATGATTTTTGTTTTAAATCTTCACTTTAGCATAACTCGAATGTTTGTACATTGTAATGCAGGGAGGTAGAGTGGCAGACAGCATTGCCATTTGCCCACTGTGGGTCTTAATTGTGAACAATTCTTTTTCTTCCTAATGCAAATGCGCTATGAGCCACCTAAGGGCTTGTTCTGTTGATCCCCATGAGGAAGGGATTGGAGATAGAGGAGGATTGATTCCACACCTATTCCCCTCCAAATCCCCTTCAATACCCTTGGGGGGATTAACTGAACAAGGCTTGAGGGAGGGATTAGCTGAACAAGGCCTAAATGAGCTGCTAGAATTTAACTTGTGTGAAATGTTCAAACGGACAAAGAAACACCACACATATACATAGCATTCCGAGTTATGACCACAAACTGTGTTGTTCATCCCCCAGAATTAGAACTCATTTCTTATATATAATTCAAGCAGTTGGCATTATTGTATTAGTAATGAGAGAGATACCTATGACAACATGAAGTTCCATGTTTACATATGGGGAAGCTTTTGTCCTTTTTTGCTAAAGATGTGATGTTCTCTGTTCACAAGAAATGCATGATTAAATTCTATTTTCATGGAGAGTTTTCTCTTGAAATTTCTCTATGTAATGGTTTTTTCTAAGTTAGCACCAACTTTCATAACAACTCCTGCCCCGTTTATATTCCGACAGATAAACCACAAGGCTCAGACCTATTACTGGAGGCAACACTTGAAGCAGAGGTCGCAGAGCACGCAAAATCCTTCGCGCAGCAGCATCATGATGAACTGCACAAGGAGTGATGCGATCTTTTGATAGGAACTGGTAGACATCTTGTACATTAAAAACTTCAAAAATTCTGACTACTATTGGAGTATTCTGATGCCCGTTGAGATGTAAGTGGACATAAAGGAATATAAGTTGTTGACCGGCGCAAAATTGGTGTCAACTTTCATAGGATGATGATCTGCGATGGTGATACCAAGTAGTAGTAGTGGAAATCTTGTTGCTTATTTGATTGCAGCGGTATTATATTGTCCTTTAATTGTTAAGTGTTCCTTTGGCACAATATTTTTATAGGAATTTTGTAGGATTTAAATTGTACGGAAAACTTTCCTATTCTGTCGTTTGTACAAAGGATTGTGACATCAAGAATTCTATGGAATTCCTTTGGAATGGCTAAGAGATGGGAATGTTGGAAGAAATTTAACGAGGTTCAATCTCGTCGAAATTTTTCCTCATGTTTCTCTCTGCTTAGTTTTCATGAGTTCTTTTTCATAGTCTTTTCGAATGGGTATTCTTAGAAATTTTCTCTTTTTACATATTGCAATCGTTGTTATATACATCTGCAGGAAATTGTTGGATGAATCAACATCAGATTTCGATGTTGTTCCAACCCGGGTACAGATCCACTGGAGTTGAGGCCAACTCCACCCGGTGGATTTGCCTCAATCTCAGCCATCCCTTCGTTTCTACGGCTGAGATCATTCAACTGAATCTCTCTCCTAATTAGCTCCCCTAATCAAGTAGATTTGGAGGGGAAATACTTACCATTTTAGCTATTCCCTCCAAAATTATGATTATACTCCCGTCGGCCACAATGCAAGGCAAATATTATGATTATACTCCCGTCGGCGTCTTTCTCCACCATCGCATGGACCACCTCGTCGGCGCCATCAAGAAAGATGCCAGGGAGGTGAATCCTCCGCTCCCCTGGCCGGCGGCCGTGAGTTGACGATGCGACGCGTATGTCAGGGTTACGGATAAGGTATACCCTCTACCCTTGGATGTACGCTGTACGGCAATACGGTACATCGGCGCGTGTACGGACGTTCTCTGTATACGTTAAGGAAATTCATCTCGAAGTCCATCAATGAAAAGGTTCCTACCCGTATAGGACTGGGTCGTCACTATATCGTGCATGGTCCGATGTCTCTGAGTCCTACTTGGAGACCACCTGACCTGCGATATAAAAGGGACCCCTCCGGGAAGACCTAAGGCATCGAATCTCATAGCCTACACAACGACCACAGCTTACAAAGCCGGAGACTACAGGAGCCAAGTCGTCGGGTGATCTAGTCGAATCAACTCGACTACGATCTCGTCGGTACCACCGAGTTCTACTATTCCCTTTGTAATATGTGGTTCTTTCCATATAATCCCATACCAACTGGATTAGGGCTATTACCTGCTAAGGGGCCTGAACCAGTATAATCTGTGTCTCTTGTTTCCTTGATGTCATACTACATAGATCCTCGTATCAGCATACCCCAATACCCTCTATATCCGGTCTACGGGTACCCACCATCGACAGCGCGTGAGCTGCTGGAGTTCTTAAGGAGCTCGCCGGCGTGCTCTCCTGAGCTCTTGCTGTTGCTAGTCACTACCTTATTCAAACATGTGGGTGGCTGTGTGGCTTTGGCTTCCAGGAAAAAGAAGGGTCAAAGAAAGATGTGTATTCGGTTGGATGATCTCAGCCGTAGAAACGAAGGGATGGCTGAGATTGAGGCAAATCCACCGGGTGGAGTTGGCCTCAACTCCAGTGGATCTGTACCCGTTCCAACCCTGCTTTTCAAGAAATTACTGAAATAAATTGATGAAACCGGGGGACGTGATGCCACTATACACGGATACTTTTCTGCAGTGACACCGATACACAAATGCACGCACTGGTTGCTAATTGTCGCCCAGTTGCTATCAGTTTTTGGCAGTCTCAGCCGGCAGCATTGACCCAAGACTGCATTGGGATATTTCCTCCTTCAGAAATTTTACCATTCTTCGAAAAGTACCTCGAGACATCTAAATTTTACACTAATTTTTTTAAAGATACTTCATCCGTTTCATAATATAAAACTTTCTAGTATTACCCACATTCATATATATTTTATGAAACTAGACAATATATGTGTTTAGATTCATTAACATTTATATGAATGTGTGCAATGCTAAAAAGTCTTATATTATGAAACGGAGAGAGTACTAAATTTTACACTAGAAAAATATAGAAAAATATAGTACCTTCGGATGGTAAAATTATCCTTCCTGCTTACTACGGTATATGTATGAATGTATGTGTGGCTCTCCGACTCTATTGTTGCCTTGTTCCCTGACCTTCTCTCCTGCAGGTTTGCAGCTCTAGTTTCTGCTCGCCGTCGACGGGCCGTCTCGCCGACCGCCGGCCGCCGCAGGGTTATTCTAAGTTACGTTAGCTTCAGTTTCGCCGATCCAAGGGGCATCATTCGGAACATGCAAGTTTTCCCATTTTCAGCAGAAACTGAACGGTAATTTCATGTGAAGATTGCGTGTGAAATTCTTGCCACATCTCTTCCTGCATAGGGGTTCAAGAAAAGTTGATACATATAGTACTCCCTCCTTTTCTCATATTGTAAGTCGCAAAAGTTAAACTTCTTTTTAAGCTTGATCAAATTAAAATAAGATAATTTTTTTATGATTAGTATTTTGATTGTTATTAGATGATAAAACATAAATATTACTTTATGTGTGACTAACTTTTAAAATTTTTTTACAAATTTTTTAAATAAGATGGACAGTCAAACGTTAGACACGAATTCCTACGACTACACTTATTTTAAGACGGAAGTTGTAACAATTAGATTTAATCTCTCTACTATGTAAAAGCGCTCTTTTGGAGGGCTTAGGGCGAGATAAAATTTAGGACCATTTGTTTCAACACTATAGCCAAGTTCTCAGGATTTTTAGAAAAACGTGTACTACTCCTAGCAATATTCTCTTCTCCACACATACTAATCTGTCCCAAAAAGAATCAAACATAGAGTTTGACTTTTTTTTTTGGTGGAGGGGGTACTATTCATCAGAACTCATTCCATTCGAGTAATTCGTTTTGTGCCCACACGATCTGCAACAAATGTGACAATCCCTAGGGCCAAATTCAGGTAAGCCCAAACATAATGAGAACAACCCCCTTGTTGATAGCAGACTGGCTTAATTTCAAATCAGAACTGTACTGCGCGGCTGACTGTTAGCAACCAAGTCACCAAACAACAAGAATTTCACCATGAACAACTATCCAGTCAACAGTGTTGTTTTGGAGGTGAAAGATGGGGAAACACAGGGGGATTGGAAGGTTCTAAAAGCTAAGGAAATGGGAGGTGGAGGAGGGAATAGGTACTCGACGAGGATCCAGCCCAGATCCAAGCCGCTGCACGCGCGTGTGATGTGGGCATGCGTGTGCGCACGTGTTCTATTGGTGCGCGCATGCGCACGTGTTCTATAACGCGTGAGCGCACACGCGGATGCGTGTGCGCATGTATTCCCTCTCTTGCTTGAATGATCCCCCCTCCAGGGGTATCATTCCATCGAGCTCGGGTCTTTCATAGGAAAGGAGCTGACTCGCCGCCACCGATCGCCAAGCCACTGAGGCTGGTCACTGTACTGCCTCTTGTGTTCGATGGCTTGAATGAGCAGCAACCAGCAGCTATAAGCTATTGCTTTATGTATTGCTCTCCCTGGGCTTGCTTGGGCCGAGACTTGCACTGCGAATCAGCTATGGTGAAGCCCAACATGGTCTCTAACAATCTACTCTCCTTGAATTCGGCTTGTCCCCAAGTGTATGACTTAAAACCTTCCGGATCTCATAGCTGCTCCAAATATTTTATGTTAGACATTGAACCATTATGAGTAGAAAGCTTTATATCGACATCGTGAGATTCAATCTCACAATAAGATTTTTATAAAGTATTTCTCTCATTAAATTCCTGCATTACTCGTGTTTTTTTCAAATGTCTTTTAAAATATCAAATATGTGTTCGTATATCCGATGTGACACGGCAAAAGTTTTCACCCTAGATCTAAACACGGCCATATTTTCTTTCTGGGTTTTGCAATCTTCTATCCTGTAAAACCTTACCAGAGGAGAAATGGATGGCTAGATCTAACTCTGTTTCGGGCGAACGGCTCAGATCCAACCTCACCTATCCTTGCGGCGCCTCAGCACTACACAAGAAGAAAAGAAACCCAATCCGAATCCGCCTTATCCCCAAACCCCATTCCACGCTCTCTCTCTCTCCCGCTCCAAGAACCCGATTCCATGTCGCCGGTGACCGCGTTGCTCGCAGGCGCCGCCGCGCCGCTTCCGGCGATGGCACGGAGGCCGTCCCGCGTGGCGCCCCCGGGATACTCCCCCGTCGGAGGAGGGTGCGCGCTGGCGGTGGAGTGCTCGTCGCGGCCGCAGAAGAAGGCGACGAAGCACCACATGAAGACGCGGCCCAAGAAGTCGCAGCCGTGGGACAGGAAGCGCCGCCCCACGCAGTACCGGCCGCTGCCGGCTCTCCCGCCGGACTGGACGCTCGTCGCCGCCGGCGCCACGGTCGACGCGTCGGCGCAGGCCGAGGATGCGGATGAGGAGGAACCGGAGCCGGTGGCCGCTCCGGTCGTCGAGGTGGTGGCGGCCCCGGCCGCCGCCGACGACTGATTCCGGCCATGTCTCTTTCTACGAAATTGCTCGTTCATTGCTAGGTTTGGTGTTATTGCTTCTCTTGTTTGTCTGTGACCAAAATCTTGGATGGTACTGTTTAAAATGGTTGCTGCTTTATATATATTGATTTACTTGATGATATCTTAGTTTCTAGCTCTGTGCAATTTCAGCCCACAGAGTTGATTCCGACTAGGTTCATAAGGCATTGCAGTGGCAATAGATGTGGGCACGTACAACAATAATTTGCTAAAATGTTTTTTTTTTGAAACTGATAGAATTAGCTAAAATGTATTCCCTGAACTTCTGTTGATGTGGATGACCCTGAATGCTGCCATTGAGCTTATGATAGAGAGATTGAGGTACATTTCTGCAAGAACAAACTATCTTGGAACGGGCCCTCTGGTCAGCTGGTTTGGCCGATTGACAGAGAACACGCGAGGGGAAAGATAGTGATTATAACTTGCAAGGCAATGTCAACAATTCTGCACAATACTTCTTCCGTCCCAAATTATACAGCGCCCTCTTTTCGAGGAAAATCAAACTAAATAGCTTTTGACTAATAATCATACTGACTATATATCTATACTAAGTATTGTGCATGTTATATCACTAGATTCATATTTTGAAATACTTTCTTGTAATGCTAATTTCATATTTGTTGGAAACATAACATGAAATAAAATACTAGTCAAAGTATCTCATTGAAGACCGTGTAAAAAAAATATAGATCTTATAATTTGGAAGAGGAAGTAGGATGCATACATAGGTCCTGTTCGTTTCTAATGCAAGGAGTGGATAAAGTTTCGGATATTCGTGGCACACTTTTCAAACTGTTAAACGGTGCGTTTCGTATGAACACTTTCTATATGAAAGTTGTTCTAAAATATCAGATTAATCCATTTTTCCAGTTTGTAATAATTAAAACTCAATTAATCACACGTTATTACCACCTTGTTTTGCGTGAAACACTTAATCTTCATCTTTATCTTCAAGAGATTCAAACACCACCATATTTGTTGATAGTTGAGCTTCTTGCAAAGCATGGAAAAGTTTTTCATTGGTTGGTCAGTGTTAGACACCATGTTGCTCTTCACCATAGCTGATCCACTGCGCAAGTCTCGACCCAAGCAAGTCCACGGAGAGCAATACATAAAGCAATAGCTGCTGCTCCCCAAGCCACCGAACAAAAGAGGCAGGATAGCGACCAACCTCAGCGGCTTGGTGATCGGCGGCGGTGGCGGCTTGGATCCGGGCTAGATCCTCGTCAAGTACCTATTTCCTCCACCCCCCATTTCCCTAGCTTCTAGAACCTTCTAGCCCCCCCTGTATTTCCCCATCGCCAACTCCAAAACAACACTGTTTACTGGATAGTTGTTCATGGTGAAATTCTTGTTGTTTGGTGATTTGGTTGCTACAATATGGTATTAGAGCCATCGATTCGTGGGGTTTCTTTTCTAGTGTGGGGAAGATCTGCAGCAATGTCCCATGCAATTCGCTGTCAGATATAGACAAGGATGGTGCTCATGGCACTAATGCACACCCCCTATTCGATGGAATGCCAAGCCAACATGAGGTGTCTGAGGATGATTCCAGGCTACCAGAGAAATCCTTGGATGATGCTCTGGATCAGATCATGGAGAAGCTTGAGTTGATGGAGGCCAAGCGTAGGCAAAATGAGAAGATTAATCGGATTTTGGAGAAGTTCAATGAGATGGAGAAGAGGGAAAGGGAATCCATGCATAGGAGAAGGGACATCATGGAGGAGCTTAGCACCAGCATCAAAGTGACCACTACGGTCATCATGGCTACATCATCTTCACCAATCATAGCACCGTCCCCTTCACTAACTACCAATTGCTCGACAGAATGCCCCTATGCCAGCAGCCCGGATGTGACAGTGAGACAATGAGCCTTCTCTGGCAGTGTCCTTGCAGCTTAGTGATGGTGGGGACAAGGACCAAGCTCCCTACATTGTCATCAAGGACCTTCTCAATGTCACGCCTGCCAAGTGCTCGACAAATTACTCCATCCCCAACATCGTACCTGGCCTCACCGTGGCTGCCATGGTTACATGTGCCCCGACATCTATGGACTCCATGTATTTGGAAGTTGGTGAGGACATCACCAGCACCACCAGCGTTGACTTTATTGGTCATCCCAAGGAGACACACACAAAGTTTTTGATGATGGGCCTCGATGTCAACATCGGCATTTAGCAGGCTGTAGTTGCATTTCCACTCATGTTTATCCCTTTGGATATTATCACAGTTTTGATTGAGCTATCACAGGTCATGGAATTGAAGCTTGATGCTATCATCAGCGTGGGAAACAAGGTGTCTATAGGGTGTTCAATGAAATGCCCTCAAAGCGACAACAAGCAACTGATGGAGCATCCCAACAAAAATCCATGGCCACCCCCTACCCACAATGTTGCAATGGAAAATCGACAGGTGTTGCAACTAGCCTTGCCAATCCTCAGCTATTTCAGGATCAAATTGCAATGGATGCCACCTTGGCTGCCATTAGTTGGTTTGCTAGAAGCTAGACAAGGGAAGTGTTGCACTCCTGATTCTACTGCGAGTATAATTTCTCTTGGAATGAGCAAAAAAAAAAAAATGATGACTATTGAAACTTGCACTAACTTTGAGCAGAAAATGCAGAAGTTTTGGGATCCGACTTTCCAGGAGGACTTCGCATGAAGTAAGAAGTTATTCAAGCTAAAGTTACTTGCTCTATTCTTCTTCAATAATGGTTGAGTAAATTGCACATTTGTCTAGGTATTTTTACCAAAGTTTCAACATGGACCATCCTAAAGACAAAGTTTTCACTTTGGGCTAGTTTCTTTTAGGGTAAATAGCTAATTTAGTCCTTCAAGTTTAACCGAAGGCTCAATTTGGTCCTTAAGGTTTCATTTTGTCCACATAGGTCCTCTAAGTATTTGTTTTGGCCTAAAATCATCCTTGGGCCCACTTAATATGCCATATGGCTATTTTTAGTCAATAGTTATGTTAGAAAATGTCTCTTTTGCCCTTAATTTGTATACAACTATACACTAGAAAAAACAAAACCAAAATGAATAAATAATATTGCATATGTACTTCTCATTTTCAACATGTGCACATGAAAATTGAGCCCAATGGCTATCGTATACACTTACAAGTACATAATTTATTTTTGTTTTATCTGTAAAAAGAATTCATTGCATGCAATTTGTTCTCTTATATATGTGAATGAGGGGACATAAGTGTTATTTATCAAGAGAGTTGTTGGTTATGTGTGTTCAAGGATAAGTTTGAATTAAAATAAAAACTTAAAGGACTAATATGGACACATTGAAACATTAAGGACTAAAATGATCCTTGAATGAAACTTAGAGGACCATTTTAGCTATTCACCCTTTCTTTTACCAAAAACTCACTTTGGACGGGATGCTCTCACATGTCATTAGATCAGGAGATGAAAGAGGGAGCAGGGAGGACGCTGGCAAGCTTGTGATGGAAATGATTGGATTGTGGACGCCGGCAAGCTTGTAATAGAGATGATTGCAATGTGGCATGCATGCGACAACACCTAGAAATGCAAAGGAAGTTCTCCGCATGTATGAAATAATAGCACGACCCTGGGTAGCGCCCACCACGCCCTAGAATACTGGCCGACGGTAGATAGTCGATGGTGGCTATCAGTGGATGGCGTATGTATTGACCACGCCCTGAACTGTGGCAGGTGCACATCAAGAAGCTAGCTGTTTGAACTGAGTGCCATGCCCCGCCACTGTGCTCGTGTGTCCTCCCCAGTTGGATGCCGCCGATCACGTGGAGGTCGAGCATCACCATCACAATGAAATACACAGCAATCGCACAGTGAAGAGCCACAGCAGCAGAATATCAACGGTGAGGTCACACATGCCCAGATCATGAACATACCCTGCCCCAAAGTGCAACTCTTGGCAAAGAAACATGGTGTTAAGTGAAAATCTTGACTTAGCCCTAGCCCAATGTGAAATACTGGTAAAGAAAGGTAGCCCATGATGAAATTTACTCTTCTAAAAATATAGACAACAAGATTTCCATTACTAACTTGTCTACTTTTTGGCGTCACATCCTAGATCATCATCATCCTATGAACATACAAACCATTGTAGGAGATGCATATATATGATGCATTGTATTCTGTCCAAGAAACATATATAATAAAAGAGTTTATTTACGATCATTTCACTATAAAAAAGGATATTCGCAAATGGTCAAAACTCGTTTTCGCAGATGGTGCATATGAAAATTGGCACTTTCACGTGCGGGTGCTACAACCTAGATAAAAACCCATTTTTGCAGACAAGCGTAGGGGGCTCAAGTGGCCAAGTAATAACGTTCGATTGTAACGTTTTTTTTGAAAAAATAAATAAATAAACAAATCTAAAACTAGGCTCGTCATAAATGCCGTTGTCGCATGGTCCAGGTCAATGTTGTCGTCGCGCAGTCCAGGTCATTGCCACTCCATCGAGGTTGAGATCGTCGTTGCGTGGTTGAGATCATCGTTGCCGCGTGGTCACAAGCGGTGGATCCATTGGTGTCGTGGTCGCCACCGCCACTCCTATGGCCGCCCGAGGCTGCCATCGTCTGAAACCCACTGTCGCTGCACGAAGAGGCAAGGAGGTCGGTCTGCCAAGTGGGAGAGAGTGGGGGAAGTGAGGTGACTGGGAGTGGGGGAGAGGAACTGTGGGAGTGAGAGGGGAAGTGATGGGAGTGGGAAGGAGAGGAAAAAAAGGATGGAGGAGTGCGACCAGAGAGGCGGAGGAAAATATTTTGCTTGCGAAATTCGATTTTCATAGACGAGCCTTGATCGTAAATTTTTACAAGTGGGTTTCTTTTTAGTCCAACCATAAAAATGAGAAATGAAGGGGAGTGTCAGTAAAAATACTTTTTTATTGTGTTGTACTGGTAGTAAAAATAAAAAAAGGCTGATCATAACCTGAGGTTGACCAGCTAGCCAAAAGCTTCATGAGCTAATCGACACGAATATATTGTAATCTTTCCTTCGAAACTGTAAATTAAACTCAGCCTCTGTGATACTGAATTAAATATTTGCATGAAAAACAGGAAGCTCAGCTCTCTCAACACACATGTATCCGTCATCAACTCATCATGAGCGCAGCCGTTTGCCATTGCCTTGCACTACTATATTTTCCTTGGTTGTTGTCTGTCAATTGCCTACACTTATAACTGATCGGCTCAGCACTTTTGTCTCAACAACACGTCAACACCTGTCTATTTAATTTCCATACCAATCTACTCTAGTAAGATCACAAGTCCTCAACAAACCTAGATACAACAACCAATATTTCTTTAGATCTGAATGCAGATCATGATACACAAGAATTTTCCTGGCTGTATATATCAAATAGAGATCGGATTTCTATCCATTATAAAAAAAAAGATTTTTCCTTGACTGTTTTGACAATCAAATAGTCCATCCGTTTATTTTTGTAAGTTGTATTTTGACTCTTGAGAAGTCTTGAAGACTAAAGTTGACCATTAATTTCTCATAGAGTCTCCACGGGCCGGCCTTTACTTTCGAGGCGGCTACAGCACCCGACTGTGAAAACCATATTTAGCCGCCTATAAAGATCCTTTTTCATATAGTGTGTAAAATCACTTTGATATACCGATCTATTTATATATACCAAATATATTTGTAAGTTTAGTGATCATTAGTCAAAACCATCAAAGTTTGACTTTTTTACAAATCAAAATTCACCTTATAAAAGTAAATGGAGGGATTAATTTGCTGTGTGTAGAAGTTTTTTGGGGAAAAAAACATTGCTCACGTATCAGTGCTAAAGCAGAGCACCTTTTGGAAATCCAACAATTGATTTGTCTTAAAAAAACTAAACTAGATGGAGAACTACTAATTGTATATTTGTATTGAATTAAGTCAAAGTAAAACCCAGACGGGTCATAAAGAAAGAGAAAAGAAAATACAACACAATTGCCACATGTAAAATGAGCGCAAGGACAATGGTTATGTTCCTTTTGTACGGCGACGACATTCTCAACCCCAAGATCATGGGTAACATGATGCAACAAATTTACATGGTTTCCGAGACTAAGATTTGCATAATAACAATAAAGTTGACACAATATTTGCAGTGGCAGGCAAAAGAATACAGTGATTCTCACAAAGGATAATCTAGCAAAAAGAAATTGGAAGGGCAGCACTAGGTGTTGTTTTTTAACCACAATGAGACGACACACCATCTCTTTTTTGATTGTCACGTGGTTAGATTTGTTTGGAGTACCTTTTTATAACTTTTGGAATAAATTCACCTAACAATGTTGCTAATATGTTTGGGATTTGACTAAAGGGTTTACAATCTAAGGCTAAAGCACCAAATCTTTATTGGGATTGCGGCATTGTTGTGGATAATGTGGATTTGTAGAAAAGATATGGTTTTCAATGGTTCCAACTTTAACTCTTACTTGCAAGTTATTTTCAGGGGGACGTATTGGGCTCAACAGTGGTCCTGTTGCTTAAAGAAGAGGATTGTGATGTGATGAAGGAGGGATGCAAACTGCTAGAGACAACTTTCTTGCACTTCTTTGGTAATAAAGATGGATGGAACAGGAGAAAGCAGTTAATGGAGTAATGTGGTTGTTGGTTTATTTGGAAAGTCTTTTCACCTTGAACGGTGTTGGAGTCTTTCTACTCTTTCAGTGTTATGTAAGGTGCTCGAGCTTATGTGCTACTTTTGTTTGTAAACTTGTATGTAATGATTGAGCTTGTACGCTCGGAATTTTTTTGGCTGTATACATCCTCATTGGTGTAGAAGTCTGCTTTTGTAAATTCCCATTTTCTAAAAAATAGCCACCATGACGAAAGCCCGCCAGATCGACCTCCTTTCGTGCTGTATGGTGCCGAAGCACCAACAATCGACCTCCTTTCGTGTTGTCAGGCAGCAGCCTGGCGTGGCCTTGCCCATGTCTTCTCCTCTTAGCCATCCATCGCCTTAATTTGCAGCTACCTTTCTCTGGCGTGAGCCTCCGTCTTCAACAAATTCAAAGTACGGCTATGTTAATTAGATACTTGAATACTTTACATCTACAAAGTTTCTATTAAAAATACGGAAGTTCTTAAATTTCATTCCACAACCAATACTTTTTGTTGGAATTAATGAATGGGCCTTAGCCCACTCGAAGATTAATTCTTTGAAAAATCACAAAAACCCACCTCATGGGATGGCATGCATGTGGAGTTTAGTACCACCTTGCTTATTCTAGGAGAGGGGGACCTTCTTAAAAGGGAGGATGCCCTCCTAGTCACTTGAAGCATGTGTGGTGGAGAGAAGAGGGGAAACACACGCGCGCGCTCGCTCGCCTCGCCTGGCCGGGCACACGGCGCGCGTGCACGACGTACGCGTCGAATGGTCCAAAAAATTGGCTCCTCACCCTTGCGCAGATGCAGCCTCCTTTTGCAGTTTTGTTTTGCTGCAAATTCGGATTCGTTTTTGTTTTGGAAACGTTCCGAAAAATTCAGTGCGTGCAAACGGCGTGGAGTCCGGATAAGTTACGCGCGACTTATCCGGTTCGGTTACGCGCAGTAGAGATCGTGCGGGCGCCCTGATCAAGCGACCCTTCTCTATATAAACCGACCTGCCGTCTTCACGCAGCATACGCAAAATCAATCTAGGGTTTGCCTCCTACTCTGTACTGCGCCGTCGCTCGTAGACTACTCCATCTCGCTCGCCGGCGTGCACCAGCGATCGGGAGAGCAGGTCTCCGGAACCTCTGCCTTCGACGTTCTGCACCGGGAGAAGGCGGCAATAAGGTTTTTTGGGAAGCGCTTCGCGCGACTGCTCCCTGTTCGTTCGCGACGGCTCGCCTTCCTCTTCGCTCGCGTGTTTCGTGTCTTCATAGACACCTGCGAAAAGTTTCGACCAAGCAGCCGGTCTTTCCGTCACCTCGGTACGTGTTCAATATGTTGCGCATATTTGATCTGTTCATGTTATACTGTGTAGTTTACATGTGTAGATCTAATGATGCGTTCATGCTAGTTTTCATCTGTAATGTCATGATTTATTTATGGAATAGATTAAATCATTATATGTCTATAATCTCAACAGTCCAAAAACCTTACTATAGGCACTGTGATTTTACTATGGCTGGTTTTGCCGATGCACTGAGGCCGGATAAATTCACCGGTGTGCATTTTAAGAGATGGCAGATCAGGGTCACTCTGTGGCTGACAGCTATGAAATGCTTCTGGGTGAGTACTGGCAAACCTGAAGGAGTTCTTACTGCTGAACAGCAGAAGCAATTCGAGGAAGCCACTACTCTCTTTGTGGGATGCATTCTTAGCGTTCTTGGCGATCGTCTGGTCGAGGTGTATATGCATATGACCGACACTAAGGAGTTGTGGGATGCACTGAATACTAAATTCGGTGCTACTGATGCTAGCAATGATCTGTATATCATGGAGTAGTTTCATGACTACAAGATGGCTGACAACCGTTCTGTAGTCGAACAGGCTCATGAGATACAAACCATGGCTAAGGAACTCGAACTCCTTAAATGTGTCTTACCCGACAAATTTGTGGCCGGGTGCATTATTGCAAAACTACCTCCATCTTGGAGAAGTTTCGGTACTGCACTCAAACACAAGAGACAGGAATACTCCGTTGAGGGGTTGATAGCGTCTCTTGATGTTGAGGAGAAAGCTCGGGAAAAAGATGCCGCGTCTAAGGGCGATGGTGGGCAGTCCAGTGCCAATGTTGTGCACAAGGCCCAGAACAAGAGCAAGGGGAAATACAAAGCTCAGCAGACCACCAACTTCAAGAAGCAGAAGAAGAACAACAACAATCCTAATCAGGATGAGAGGACTTGCTTTGTGTGTGGCCAAGTTGGTCATCTGGATAGGAAGTGTCCACAGCGCAAGGGGATGAAGGCACCTGCAGGGCAGACTTCTAAGTCTGCTAATGTGACCATTGGCAACACTGGAGATGGAAGCGGGTATGGTAATTTACCTACTGTTTTTTCAGTTAATCAATCTACTAATTGGTGGGTTGATACTGGGGCCAATGTACATGTTTGTGCTGACATCTCATTGTTTTCTTCTTATCAGGTAGCACGGGGTTCCACCGTCCTAATGGGGAATGGGTCACATGCTTCTGTTCATGGTGTTAGCACGGTAGATCTGAAGTTTACTTCGGGAAAGATCGTGCAGCTGAAGAACGTGCAGCATGTCCCTTCTATCGACAGGAATCTTGTTAGTGGCTCCCGTCTGACTAGAGACGGATTTAAGTTGGTTTTTGAGTCTAATAAAGTAGTCGTGTCTAAACATGGATATTTTATTGGTAAAGGTTATGAGTGCGGAGGCCTGTTCCGCTTTTCCCTTTCTGATTTCTGCAATAAGTCTGTGAACCATATTTGTGGTAGTGTGGATGATGAGGCTAATGTTTGGCATTCACGTTTATGTCATATTAATTTTGGCTTGATGTCTCGGCTTAATTCCTAATTTTGGCATGTGTTTAATTCCTAAGTTTTCCATTGTCAAAGGTTCTAAGTGCCATAGTTGTGTGCAATCAAAGCAACCTCGCAAGCCTCACAAGGCTGTCGAGGAGAGAAACTTGGCACCACTAGAACTCCTACATTCAGATCTTTGTGAAATGAATGGGGTGTTGACGAAGGGTGGAAAACGATATTTCATGACATTCATTGATGATGCTACTAGATTTTGCTATGTGTACTTGTTGAAAACGAAAGACGAGGCTCTAGACTATTTTAAAATTTATAAGGCAGAAGTTGAAAATCAACTTGACAGAAAGATAAAAAGGCTTAGGTCTGATCGTGGTGGAGAGTTTTTCTCGAACGAGTTTGACTTATTCTGTGAGGAACATGGCATCATACATGAGAGGACGCCTCCCTATTCTCCCGAGTCTAATGGGATTGCTGAAAGGAAGAATCGCACACTGACTGACTTGGTGAATGCCATGTTGGACACCGCGGGACTGCCTAAGGCATGGTGGGGGGAGGCATTGTTGACCTCAAATCATGTGTTAAACAGAGTTCCTAACAGAAATAAGGACAAAACACCATATGAGATATGGATTGGTAGAAAACCATCACTTTCTTATTTGCGCACATGGGGGTGCTTGGCGAAAGTCAATGTACCAATAACGAAGAAGCGCAAACTTGGACCTAAGACTGTGGACTGTGTTTTTCTGGGATATGCTTATCATAGCATTGCCTATAGATTTTTAATAGTTAAATCCGAGGTACCGGACATGAATGTTGGTACAATTATGGAGTCTCGTGATGCTATCTTCTTTGAGAGCTTTTTCCCAATGAAGGATACACATAGTGGTTCGAACCAACCATCTGAAATAATTCCCAGTTCAATCACACCACCAGAACAAACTGAACATACACATGAACTTGTCTCTGAGGAGGATGTCAGTGAAGCTCCTCGAAGGAGTAAGAGACAAAGGACGGCTAAGTCTTTTGGTGATGATTTCACTGTGTACCTCGTGGATGATACTCCTAAGTCAATTTCAGAAGCATATGCATCTCCTGATGCAGACTACTGGAAGGAGGCTGTCCGTAGTGAAATGGATTCCATTATCGCTAACGGGACTTGGGAGGTGACAGAGCGACCCTATGGGTGTAAACCTGTGGGGTGCAAGTGGGTGTTCAAGAAGAAGCTTAGGCCTGACGGTACTATTGAAAAGTACAAGGCTCGGCTTGTTGCTAAGGGCTATACTCAGAAAGAAGGCGAAGATTTCTTTGACACTTACTCACCTGTTGCTAGATTGACCATAATTCGTGTGCTACTTTCCCTAGCAGCCTCACATGGTCTTCTCGTTCATCAAATGGACGTTAAGACAGCTTTTCTTAATGGAGAGCTGGATGAGGAGATCTATATGGATCAACCTGATGGGTTTGTAGTTGAAGGTCAAGAAGGCAAAGTGTGCAAATTGTTGAAGTCTTTGTATGGTCTGAAACAAGCTCCTAAGCAATGGCATGAGAAATTTGACAAAACATTGACATCTGCAGGCTTTGCAGTCAATGAGGCAGATAAATGTGTGTACTATCGCCATGGTGGGGGTGAGGGAGTTATTTTGTGCTTGTATGTTGACGACATACTGATATTTGGGACAAACCTTGAGGTGATAAATGAGGTTAAATCATTCTTGTCTCAAAATTTTGATATGAAGGATTTGGGAGTAGCTGATGTTATCTTAAACATTAAGCTAATTAGAGGTGAGAATGGGATTACACTCTTGCAGTCCCATTATGTGGAGAAGATCTTGAATCGCTTTGGCTACATTGATAGTAAGCCTTCTCCAACACCTTATGATCCTAGCTTGTTGCTTCGCAAGAACAAGAGAATTGCTAGGAATCAACTGGAATACTCCCAAATCATTGGCTCGTTGATGTACCTGGCTAGTGCAACTAGGCCTGATATCTCCTTTGCTGTGAGCAAGTTGAGCCGATTTACCTCTAATCCGGGAGATGATCACTGGCGTGCGCTTGAGCGAGTAATGCGCTATCTGAAAGGTACTGTGGAATTGGGGCTTCACTATACTGGGTATCCTGCGGTACTGGAGGGTTATAGTGATTCTAACTGGATCTCTGATGTGGATGAGATCAAAGCCACTAGTGCATATGTTTTCACACTGGGTGGTGGTGCTGTTTCATGGAGGTCTTGCAAACAGACCATTTTGACGAGGTCAACCATGGAAGCATAGCTAACGGCACTGGATACTGCTACTGTTGAGGCAGAATGGCTGCGTGATCTATTAATGGATCTGCCTGTTGTTGAAAAACCGGTGCCGGCTATCCTTATGAACTGTGACAATCAAACGGTAATTGTCAAAGTGAATAGTTCTAAGGATAATATGAAATCGTCTAGACATGTGAAAAGACGATTGAAGTCTGTCAGGAAATTAAGAAACTCCGGAGTTATAACGTTGGATTACATCCAAACAGCGAGAAACCTGGCAGATCCCTTCACGAAGGGACTATCACGAAATGTGATAGACAATGCATCGAAGGAGATGGGTTTGAGACCCATGTGAGTTATACTATGGTGGTAACCCAGTCTATGTGATCGGAGATCCCGTGAATTAGATCCTGGGAAGAACAAACCATTAGTAAACTAGAGGAGAGTATCAATATATATACCCTCTCCAAGTGAAGATGCATGTACTCTCGTGAGCTGCAAGGCAGGTTGGCTATGCCTTAATGAGTTCTGTTGACTTTAATTAGCAAAGATGTTGTCCTGCAGAGCATTCTTGAAAGAACTCACCTTTGTGAGCTTGACTGTTGGTCACAGTCTATGAAGATTTTGGGTGAATCTTCTAGGAAGCTTACTAAAGACCTAGGAGTATGACTTATACGCTCCACCCGAGGGGTAGTCTACAGACGGTCTAGTACCAGATAAGACTTTGAGTGAAACTTGCTTGCACAAGACTTGCAATTCAACGCGTAGTCCATTGTTCAAGTTGTGAGTAAGTGTAGCTTGGAGTTCTAGGTGGATGTTCAACCTTAATTGGTCTCCATCGAACCGCTGGTATATAAACAGTACATTGGAAAAGGCAAGTCTCAGTGGGATTTTGAGATTTGGTGGGGGATTGTTGGCATTAATGAATGGGCCTTAGCCCACTCGAAGATTAATTCTTTGGAAAATCACAAAAGCCCACCTCATGGGATGGCATGCATGTGGAGTTTAGTACCACCTTGCTTATTCTAGGAGAGGGGGACCTTCTTAAAAGGGAGGATGCCCTCCTAGTCACTTGAAGCATGTGTGGTGGAGAGAAGAGGGGAAACACACGCGCGCGCTCGCTCGCCTCGCCTGGCCGGGCAGGGCAGGCGGCGCGCGTGCACGACGTACGCGTCGAATGGTCCGAAAAATTGGCTCCTCACCCTTGCGCAGATGCAGCCTCCTTTTGCAGTTTTGTTTTGCTGCAAATTCGGATTCGTTTTTGTTTTGGAAACGTTCCGAAAAATTCAGTGCGTGCAAACGGCGTGGAGTCCGGATAAGTTACGCGCGACTTATCCGGTTCGGTTACGCGCAGTAGAGATCGTGCGGGCGCCCTGATCAAGCGACCCTTCTCTATATAAACCGACCTGCCGTCTTCACGCAGCATACGCAAAATCAATCTAGGGTTTGCCTCCTACTCTGTACTGCGCCGTCGCTCGTAGACTACTCCATCTCGCTCGCCGGCGTGCACCAGCGATCGGGAGAGCAGGTCTCCGGAACCTCTGCCTTCGACGTTCTGCACCGGGAGAAGGCGGCAATAAGGTTTTTTGGGAAGCGCTTCGCGCGACTGCTCCCTGTTCGTTCGCGACGGCTCGCCTTCCTCTTCGCTCGCGTGTTTCGTGTCTTCGTAGACACCTGCGAAAAGTTTCGACCAAGCAGCCGGTCTTTCCGTCACCTCGGTACGTGTTCAATATGTTGCGCATATTTGATCTGTTCATGTTATACTGTGTAGTTTACATGTGTAGATCTAATGATGCGTTCATGCTAGTTTTCATCTGTAATGTCATGATTTATTTATGGAATAGATTAAATCATTATATGTCTATAATCTCAACACTTTTTGCCCTGAAACGTAAGTAATGGTGACTTTTGCTCTATTTTTGGTTAGAAGAATAATATATGAGATTTGTTCTAATCCAACCAAAATTACCTCGAGGTATCGGTACCTCACGATACCAAATCGTTTCCGATCATCGTACCTCGAGGTACTTTTTACTGAATCGCGATAAATCTCATAATATATAGGTACACAATTTGGTAGATAGTTCAAACATGTGATGATAATATTTCAGTATTAAAAAAAGAGAGAAGAAAACCAAGCAAGATTATTGTAAGGCAGTCAAATGAATTTGCTTGAAATTATGTGTGGAGCAGAATAGATAGTTATACCTTCTCCAGCTCCATTGTAGGGTTGTTGGGGTTTAACTGGAGCGATCTCTTAATTGCAATCTCTGCATCATCCGCCTCCCCTGTCTTGGAACCAAAACACCGCATCCAAACATCGACATGCTCGAGCGAAGAGAGGTTCTCCAGACCGAAGTCGAAATCTCCAAATTGACCCATTGTCTCACTTACTCCAAAGTATAAACTCAGATCCCTGACCTTCTGCATGGCTCCTTGCGCAAATCCCACATACATGCTGCTGCTCGCTAAACTGAACTGTGTTAGACACAGGAATGGACAGCCTTTCCCAATAACCAACCTCTTGTTTTTGTCATGTATGGCTTTGTTCACCGATATAGATATATAGAGATCATTGAGATGTGGTATGCTCCCAAGAACTTGCAGTTCGTCTTCTCCAAGTGTTAATAATATGAGATGCAGGGAGGAGAGGGAGCAGAGTGAGGACATCCATCCTGGAAAAGCGGTTAAAGTGCAGAATGACATGTCAATGGATTGAAGCCGTTGAGGCCCAGGCGATAAACTGCCACATGTGGAACCTAGTGTTCCATCTACCTCTAGGAGTTCAAGGCTTACTAGGTTGGATAGGCACTGGATGAAAGGTTTCTCATAGCTCTCATCCCATTTATCGAAGTAAATTGTTAAGCGCCTCAGCTTAGAAAGACAACCTAGATCGTGCAACATGGTTGGAGAATCGATAGTGATAACATTAGGAATTTCCTGCAGCCTGTTTAGACTCCCAAGACCGTCTGGCAATCTCATCATATTGGGGAAATGCAGGTACACCAGCTGTTTTAGTTGAATAAAGGTCGGTGGCAGCTCTTTGATATTAGTGATAGATATGTCCAGGACCTGTAAAAACTGCAGATTTGCAATCTCTTTTGGGAGCTCGCTTATACTTGTACCATATAGCCGCAAATACCTAAGGTGAAACAACTTGCAGATATCCTTACAATGTTGATTCTCAACTTTGTCACAACCACTGAAATCCAGTACACGTAAGAATGGGCACATGCTTGGTAGAGTTGGCAGTAGACTACTCAGACCTTGCCCACACACAGTCAGTGACCTCAAATGGCACAAGCTTATCGTAGCCAACTGCTTGACATACTCTTCCTCGTTTGTTTGGATGGACAGTCGGCGGATCTTTTTTGGTAGAGACAAGGACGGGTGTCCATCTAATCTTGTTAGGAAATGCTCCTCATTTGATAGGGACGTGATGAGATCAAGCACCATGTCATGTACACGATAATACTCTGGGTAATCGTTAACAATATCACATGCTGGTTGGATCATACCCTTGTTCATGAGCTCATAAATGTATTCCCCTCCTACTTGATAAAAACTACTGCCCTGTTTAGTCTCAACGAAACCTTCGCCTACCCATTTCCATATCAAGGTCTCCCTAGTACTCAGATAATCCTCTGGATAGGAACTTAAATACAACAAACAAGTCTTCAGATGTGGAGGGAGGTCATAGTAACTGATTGATAATATTCTTCTCATGTTCCTCAAATCAGGACTGTCCTCAAGCCCAGAACCCATGGAATGGTACACCTTATACCAGTATTCATGTTGATTACCTTTTTTACTAGCCAACATACTAGCTATCGTAATGATAGCTAATGGTATACCACCACATTTCTTCAAAATTTTTTGAGATACTTCGGATAAATGATAAGGATGACATTTGTCTTCCGAGTGAAATATAATTTGGTTGAATAGCTTTATTGAATCATCAGGTGAAAGAGGCTCAAGCTTATAAGCACCGCCAACTTGTTCGGCAACGTCTACAGCTCGAGTTGTTGTAATTATTCTGCTTCCAAGTTGATTATCAACCAACACATATTTGATTGTTTTCCACACAGATTTGCTCCATATATCATCGATAACAACGATGTACCTACGAGGGAATATAACACCAATTAAATTTTGGGTAACAGAAGTAGCTTTCAGTTTGTATACCAATTGTGGGTACAAGAACCAATTAAACTGTTAACAAAGGAAGAGACATGTACCTCTTGTTTTGAAGGAATTTCCTTAGTTCATCAATAAGCTGCACTTCTTCCCATGTTTCTCCGTTAATGTTCAAGTACGTTTTCTCGTCGAGCTGACGGAGCATGTTCTTGAATACCCCCACCATGTTAGGATGAAGAGATATAGAAACAAAAGCCCCACAATCGAACTCCAATTTAAGCTTGTGATACACAACACTAGCAAGAGTCGTCTTGCCCAAACCTCCAAAACCAACGATGGAGACAACCTTCAAGTTTCGCTTGGACTCTACATCATCATGCATCTCCATCAGCCTACTGACTAGATCATCGGTCTTCTTCTTGGTGCCAACAAGCTCCGAAACATTCTTATACAGTGCTGACTGCAGGCGAAGGCTATCGACAGTTTGGTGACCGACAGGCCTGGCTACTGTAACACCATCAACCTTGTACTTATCGCGCAGCTCACTCACCTCCTTGATGTGGCTCTTGATGTCTCTGATGTTGGCACCGATCTTATGGCGAATCTTGAACTTGGTCAACAGGTTGAGGCTTCTGTCGATGAAGCCCCTAAAGCTGCGATGCTTGTCGAAGTGGACCATGAAGCTGTCGATGGTGTCCTCGATGTCGTAGGAGAGCTCTCTGACGTCTCTCACCCAGAGCTTGACGAGCTTGTTGGGTTCATCTGACTCTGAGATCTCCAGGATGGCAGCCTGCATTCGCTCCAGCTCGGCCATAAGGAACATGATCTCTCCCCTGACGGTCTTATGCAGCTGGTACTCCTTCCTGAGGACCTCACCCAGCTTCGGCAGCAGGGTGCTGATCGCGCCCGTCACAATCTCGACCATTGTGGATCACTTAGTGGTCGTGGTTTCTGTATCACACTACGGTCTTGTTCAGTTAATTCCCATAAGGAAAAGATTAGAGAGGATTTATTTCATACCTATTGTGGTGTTGAATTATTTTTCCTCAATTCCCTCCAAACCAAATAAGGCCTACGGTGGATGGCAAAAAGATGTGCGAGGAGAAGAGGAAGATGTACTTCATGGCGACGGAGACAAACATTCAATTTGGGTTAACTAGGGTGTAATTGAACCAGTGTGGAGAAAACCTCGACAGCACAAAACAGTATGGAGTCCGATGAACTGACCGAGCAATTACGGCGGCGGAGACGGCACGTTGACTGGCGCGTATCTTGCGGTCCACTCGGCCGCGGCGCCGATGACAAGCCGTCCCCTCCGCCGGAGCGCCGATCCACGTCTCTCCCCTTGCCGCTCCGCCGCACGCTCGTGCTGGTCCGCGTCGGCGGTGAGCGGAGGACGAGCGGGCTTGAGGCGAGAGGTGGTGACCACCAAGTGGACGGCGAGCGGATCATCCGACTACCGGAGTCAAGTCAACGGCGGAACACCGAACTGCTCAATGGAAGGCATTCATCGGGCAGCTTTAGTTTAGGCCATGTTCTAGATCCCACACAAAAATTTTATATCATATTACATTGAATGTTTGAACATCTATATGAAGTATTAAATATAGATTAAAAAATAACTAATTGTATAAATTGCGACTAATTTGCGAGACGAATCTTTTAAGCCTAATTGTTACATGATTTTTTTTCTTTTGAAAAAAGGCCACAACCCAGCTTTTATAACAAAGCATAACAGAGTCATACAACCGCTGGGAATACCAGCTCAAGATGTCAAGCACAGAACCGCTGGGAATACCAGCTCAGGATGTCAAGCACAGAAGCTAAGTAGGATAGGACGCTACTGGCACAATCATAACAAGCCAGAGATAAATCGACAAAGCGCTAAGAGTCCAAAAAGATAAGTGCACGGCAGAGGGGTCGCCACTACGACGACATTAGGTGCTTGAGTCTCCTACCGCTCGAATACTGGCAAGCAGTAATCCGTGTACCTTCTCCAGCTCGCCCCTTAGTTGAGTTGATGCCAAAGCTTTCCTGTAACATGAATGACAGGGCTTTGTGAGGCAAAGAAACAACATTTCGCAAAAGAATATTGTTAAAGACAGGGCGTAGCCAGGGGTAGTCCTGGTGGGCCCGGGACTACCCCCGAATTTGGCCCAGCGACCCCCTAACCCCCCAAAAAATATCAGCCCAGTTGCTCAGCTAGGCCCAATAAGTCAGACCAATGAAACGAGAGTGGCTAGGGTTGGGGAGTTCGCTTCAGCCGCCGCCGCTTCTCTCGCACGCGCATGACTGCCGCTCCACGCCGTCGCTGTTCCTCCCCTCCCGGCCTCTTCCGCTCACCTCTCTCTCGCCACGGTCTCGCAGCATCCGCCTCAGTCTCCCCAACTCCCGTTGTCCGTCGCCGACCGAGGCGCCGAGCCACTGCCGTCATTTGCCCTCCCGGCTGCTCAATCCACGGAGCGGCAGAGGGTCGAGGAACCGCCGCGCCAAGGCACCATGGCGACCACGCTGCCACTGGCTGGTCACCGCGAGGCAGGCGCCATCAGCCGCTGGCGCCGGGAGCCCAAGACCCCTGGCCAGCCTGCTTAACTAATTTTGTGCTCTCTAAAACTAGGTAATGTTCTTTCAGAGTGATTGAATTGATTTTGATTCAGGAACTAGTAAGAGTGATTGAATTCTAGAGATATATGCACTCTTTCATAGTCATTGCTGCATTAGGACTGCCACATAAATCAAAAATGTATTCTGCAAATATTGTTTACTGAATTACTGCTGTGCTGGGATCTGGTTTTGCGTTTCCAATTTTTATTTCAGTGACACAAGAACTAATTGTCTGCAAATACATTTCTTGCGCATTCATACATGACAGGCGAGCTCTAATTTTGATGCCATCTAGAACATTGCTTTCGTTTGAATTAAAATAGTATAATCGGAGCAATGCATGCTTTCCCAATTAAGTTCTACAAATGCAAATTGATGATCATGTTTCTTTTTGAGAAAAAAATTGATAATCATGTTGAATTTTAATTTTTTAGGCCTTTGGTACATGTTGTTTCTATTTCTATCTAAAATCATAGTGATAAAATTAGCATGTGTGGTTTTTCCAGTGCAGATTTATCAACAAGTATGGATTTATGGTGTTCGAAAAATTTTGGTATGTAATATAAATTTGTGATTTGTGAAACAGGACTACCCAACGAAAATTTCCTGGCTACGCCACTGGTTAAAGACCCAATCATTCCTCATACTCCAAATAGCCCAAGCTCCTACAACAAAACAACACCACAACACTCTAATATCTGATCTCCTCTGATTCTGAAAAAGATTCAGAAGATCGTTTTTAGAAGTAGGGACCGTATTCCACCTAAAAGCATCTCTATAACAGCATTAGAGAAAACAAGCCGGTGGGCACCTGAACATGAGGTGATTTGTATCCTTTTCCAAGCCACACAGCTTGCAGAGAGGGCTACCTGGCCAGTTCATTTTTTTGAGCTATTTAGCTACTTGGATTCTCCCTTTCAACATCACCCACATAAACACTCTTGTTTTTAGGGGGGGGGGGGGGTTGGGGATTTCCAAAGTTCCTGAAGCATAATGTCTTTAACACCCCCAAAAACAATTTCCTTGTATAGGGATTTTGTTGTAAATTTCCCAGATTGGTTCAGTTTCCACACCATAATATTTCTCTCTGTTGTTAGCTGGACTGTACCAAGTAAGTCCTGCAACCTTAGCCAGTCAGGTAGTTCATCTTGACCTAAAGATCTCCTAAGATTCAATTTCCCACTCCCCTTCAGACAACATTTGTTTTACAGTCTTGTCAGGGCCACTGTAGATACTGTGAATGTAAGGGAATTGGATTTTCAAAGGAGACTCCCCTAACCAAATATCATCAGAACTGGATAGACTCCCCACAACCAATTTTATATGCACTGCCAAATTTCGTCCACCTTTTCACTTCATGAAGTCCTTTCCAAAATTGTGAGCACCCTTCGGCAGAAGATTGGAAAAACCCTCCCCCATTTGAGAAGTATTTTTCCTAAGCAATTCACAACAAGGGCTGGTATTGCCAGATTCTAATTTATAAATCCATTTGCAAAGAAGAGCTTCATTCATTACTCTAGTATTAATAAAGCCAAGACCTCCATCTTCTTTGGGTCTGCAAAGGGCATCCCATCTAATCATGTGGTATTTTTTCTTTCCATCCAAACCTTCCCAAAAGAACCTAGCTCTGATAGCATCCATCTTATGATGAACCTGTGCTGGTAGTAAGTAGAATCCCATCATATACATAGGGATGCTGGAGAGAAGAAATTGATTAGAATGGATTTGCCCCCATAAGGTAGAAAGCTACACTTCCATGTAGCTAATCTTTTTTCTATTTTTGAGACTGGGATTGACAAATCTTTTGCTATCAACTTCAGATCACTGACAGGCATCCCCAAATAAGTGATAGGTAGCTCTCCTCTCTTACAATTAAACAGATCAGCCACTCTTTGTGCCTCTTCTTCCCCAACACCTAATTACTCCATGATTTTGATAATATGGTGCTACAGTAAACATTTGCTAATGATGGATTAATTAGGCTTAATAAACACCCCCTTACTGAATAGCATGGTGGCTGGCGTATATTGCGCGGCTAATATCTTTATATTTTTTTCATAATATTTATTATTATTTTATTTTAAATTTTTGTTATTTGTAAATTATATTTCTATGGTTTTAGACTATTCTTCTAATATTCCTTATTTTTTTAATTCCGAATTTCTATTATTTCTAATTGTATTTTTATATGTACTCTAAACTCATCTTTTAACATTGCTTATTTTTAATTTTAAATTTCACTTATTTCTAAATTATATTTCTATATAAACTCTAGACTTTTTTTTTCAATATTTCTTATTTTTCATTTATCAATTTTAGTTATATTTCTATATGGATTTAAACTTTACTTTTACTTTTATTATTTTTTATTTCGAATTTCAATTAGTTATAAATTCCTATATGCACTCTAGATTCTTCTTTCAATTTCCTTATTTTTAATATCGATTTTTTGTTAATTCCAAATTGTATTTTTATATGGACTCTATTTTGCTACATGATATCGCGACTTTGTGGTTTTAGCTGTAGTATCCCGCACAAAGTCACTTTTGAAGAAACACACTCTGTATATGTGTGTATATGTGGTTATTTCACAGGGCACTCCATCCATTAAATTAAGACAATTTTTGCTGTAGGCCACTATGACTTTGAGGTTTTAGCTTTTGGACATGCCAAAAGTCAATCTTTGGAGAAACACACTATCAAAATATGGTAATTTACCATCGGACATCGCACCCATTAAAATATTAATTTCTTGTTGGATGGGAGAGAGAAACAACATAAAGAGTAAATAATACCCTTAGACTCACTTGTCATATTCAAGCTCTTCCTTTCTACTACCTTCATATTTTAATGTATGACGTCGTTGATTTTTTGTCCAACGTTTGACCATTCGTCTTATTCAAAAAATTTATATAATTATTATTTATTTTATTGTGACTTGATTCATCATCAAATGTTCTTTAAGCATGACATAAATATTTTCATATATTTGCACAAAATTTTTAAATAATACGAATGGTCAAACGTTGGTCGAAAGGTTAACAACGTCATACATTAAAATACGGACGGAGTATTTCCTCTTTCCTTTATACTTCCTTCTCCTTTCCAGGTGAGCAACGGCATGCCTGGTGTGTGCTTGCACGGCGTGATGCACTACAGCCATGCATGGCGAGGTAGTCCAGTGCGAGGGAGCTGGCCTGGTGCATGGCCCGTCGTATGACGTACGTGTTTGTGGAGTGCAAGAGGAGAGCAAGCTAGACGGGGCCGTAGCGGGAGAGCAAGGGAGGGTGCAGCAGGGAGCTGAGACGCGCGCACGGCCGGTGGCAACGACGACAGCAACGTCTCGCCGGTAGCACCGCATCGTCTCAACGTTAGTCCTTGTCCGGGAACACATTTTGACGCGCGCACCTGGTCACGTTCACCACCGGAGCTCAGTGCTGATGTTTCTCTCTCTCCCCCGGGACCGTTCCCGTCATTTTGATCCTCCTCATTGCTGGCTGCCGCCACCTATGAAAGAGTCACACCATAAGACACACTCAGCCGCCGCCATCACGGCCGTTCCCTTGCTGGAGTCGTGACGCCCGGCCTCACCCATCTCTCCGCTGCTCGTTTCTGGATCGATCTAAGAAAGAAGATGAACAGTGCCAAGTCACTGTTTAGACTGAGTAATCAATCCATAATAAAACCGGCATGTGTGATGGGAGATCCGAAAAGTGGGCCCAAGGGTACTTTAGAACTTTCACATGGTTTCTGTAAAATCAAAGATGTTTTTTTATTATTATTCTGTGATGAACAATTGGGCATTGGAGTTTATTGGTTTTGTTATTTGGAATTTATTCACGAAGTGGTTTTGGAGATGATTGGATTTCACAGGTGAATATACAGGTACTGCTGTGGTTTTATGTGGACCGGTCAGACCGGGCTCTGGTAGCCGGTCAGACCGGCGTGTAATGCGCGGTCAGACCGGCGCAGCCCGCGGTCTGACCGGCCTATACTGTGTCGGTTTCGGTTTCGGGTTGTTTATTTGGATATCCGAGTTTATTCCATGATTATGGCTTCTAGATGGATACTATACGTATGTAATACTATTGTTTGCTGCTAATGAGTCAAGTTGGAGATAGCTTGGTCTCGGAATATGGTTTATTTGTTTGTTCCATGTGTAGGTGACTCGATGTCTCGGGAGAGTATTTGCGGTGATGGACCGGGAGTCGGCTTGAGGATAAGACGACGTCCGTGGTGGTCAGAGATCATGCGGGATACTTAGGCAAGAGTTGATGCACGTGGTTGATGGAGATTCCATATGGCATACGATAGAGGAATTGTGTGCGTATGGGATGCGGAGTCGAATTTAGAAGGAGTCCAAATTTGGTACGTTTGGTTATGTAAAGTTTCTTTCTTGTACTAGTGGGTTTCCTAAGGTGTTTAGGACTCCTAGTATGAGTTTGGTTCGTGGCTTTAGGCTGCCTACCTCATGTATAAATAGAGGGGGAGCGTGAGGCTTCCCGGTATCGTTTTAGAGAGCAATTGAGTTGAGTTTTGAGTTAGAGTTTCGAGTTTAGTCGAAATTTTTGTAAGGAGTGCTGTTGTTGCACTTTGTAAACACAGAGAGAAGTAATAAAGTCGTCATCCACTTTAAGAGTTCTTCGATTTGTGTTTCACCGGGTTTCGGCGGTCTAACCGGCGGCGCACCGGCGGTCAGACCGGCGGCATCTCGGCGGTCCGACCGGCGGGCACACGACGGTCAGACCGGCAGCTACAGGAGTCGGCGACAGGCGTTTTCAGCAGTTCGACCGATCAATCTACATCGGTCAGACCGACGTTCATCAGGCGGTCAGACCGGCGCAACTACTTCGGTCAGACCGCGATCCATCAATTTCGAGGGTAACTTTTATTTCCGCTAAAAGTTTTCGGTTTTTGGGTATACCAACCATTCACCCCCCCTCTGGTTGGCTTAGTTCTTGTGATTCGATCCTACAGTTTCTCTCTCCTCTTTTAACCATAAATGAATATTCTAATGGATACGATGTCTATGAGCTAATTTTCACGCTTACATACCGTTGTTTCTCAAAATTCACTTTGTGCAATTTTCTACAGTTAAAATCACAAAATAACGATGTCATGTAACAGAATTTGTCTTTTTAATTTTATCCTACGCCACCCAAACCTTATGATTGGACCTGGATGGAAGCTAGCTACGTACACACATGAGAAAGGAGGACGAGGAAAGGGGTCACCGCTACCAGATGAAGAGACGAGCTTGTCGTGGTGATAGGGTCATCACAACAGTGAAGATGGCGATGGCACCAGCGACAGTGAGTAGGCATGGTCTGGTCGGTGCAGGATATCAAGAGCGGCCATGCAGAAGGGGTGAGAGCGACTGGATGGGTTACGGGGGCCGGTGGGGTAGTGGATTACACAGTCCCTTGGACGCATTCTACAAGAACATTTTAATGCAATGCCGTTTGACTATGCCAGCCACCATGACCACTACGACATGGACGCTGTGACGACAGAACAGCATCTACTCATCTGGCCGGAGAACCTGAGGAAGTAACTTTTGTCATTGTCACTATCGTCGTACTCAAACATTGCAACCTCGTTGAGTTTTGGGCCTAAGTTGGCAAACTACATCACATCAAAGTAGAAAAATTTAGGGAATGAATCTGTGTATGGCTAGGCTTGCATAGTTCAGATGAGTTTATGTTTTAGGCCAAAGTTGGCAAACCGCATCACATCAAAGCAGATGAATTTGGAGAATGAATTTGTGTGTGTCTGGGCTTGCGTAGACCGGATGGATAAAAATAGTATTCACGTCAACTCCACAGTAGAGATGCAACGTCCGACAATAATGTGTAGCATCAAATGTACGGTGCAAAGCAATTTCTGTTTTTTTTATTCCTGTTGCAACTTACGGGCATGATTGCTAGTGTATATATTATATTTGAATGGCTCACATATTATTGTGTAATACATGACATCTAGAGACTATTTCCACCTAACTGTTAAGACAACATTATAATACCTGTAAACGTTAATACACCAAAATAAATCCTTTTTTCCTTTCCCCAACTTCGTGCAACAAAATTATCCTTCATCTTTCATCAAGGACTGATGTTAAGTCAAGGGCTATAAAATAGTATCACCTCGTAGTTTTAACTGTAAGACACCACATAAGAGTGATGTTTTTAGATCAAGACACTCTCAAAAGTTGAATCTTTACTGGTAGAAACTGAACCTATTAAAATATTAATTTTCGGTTGAATAGGAGAGATAAATTATGTCGAATATCATAAATACCCCTAGACCCATATGTCAGCTCTCCCATCCCTCTTCTTTCCTTCTCTCTATCCCCTTCTCCTATGTCACTACGCACACCGGCTGCAGAATGCTCGCAGGTGTGCTACCTGAGTGATGGGACGATGGGCCACCGATTGGCCGAGGGGTCCACGTCGTCGCCACCTCCTTCGCTGGCTTTGCCCGTGCCGCCCATGCCACCGATTGTGCTCCATGGCCAGCCGCACCATGGGGAGGAGACGCCCAAGGTCCGCTTCTCGGTGTCAATGGCAACGAGTCTGACTCCGGCTGATCAGATGGCTCGGAGTATGACGACGAGCAATCCATCTCTCTGTCGACGCCAGGGGCGGAGGCAAGCCTAGGACAGCTTGGGCTTGAGCCCTAGGCTTGCCTCTATAAACATGCCTAAATCCTTTGAAATCACTATGTATTTTTTTTGAGAGAAGAAATATCCTATTAGTTGAGCCCTACTCGAGCCCTAGCTTTAGAAAATTTCTGGCTCCGCCACTCGACGCTCACACCTCCTATATTACCCTTCGGTGCCACACATGTTGCTCTCCCTGAGCTTAAGTAGGCAGGTGGCCTCCACACCCAGGCACAGAGGCCCCCACCGCAGGTGGTGTCGCCGGTGACCACGCCTTCATCGGGCAGCAGCATGCTGAGGAAGCGCTTCCGCACCAAGTCCATCTGATCTCTGTCGGTACAGTTTGAGATATTCTTTTTGCATGAAAAATAGGACGATATATCATTTAATTTTTTTTTAAATTGCCACTTCGCTAAATTTGTATGGAGATCAGTATATTTCTCTTTTGGTCTATATATATCCTTCTAATAGTATATCACATATATTTGAGAATTGGCTCTATTGATCCAAAAACAAAGAAACTGATCCTTGTTGTAAGAGCATCCACTGTATGTTGCGCTCTCTTGCTTAGTAGAAACGATATGGTCTTCGATAAATCTCCATCTAAATCTTTTATGCCGATACTTTTCAGGGCAACGTACTGGTTCTAGTTTTGGACATAACTACAAAGGTGATATGAGGGCATCAATACATGTATGATGCATGCCATAAGCTAGAGACAAAATTATGTAGATTACGTCAACTACGGATGGAGACTTAAGTATAGGTTCCAATAAGTATTGGTTCTTTATCGAGTGCTGGTGGTCTATAGTCTTTGTTTCACTTCCTGAATTTCCTGTGCTCTTTGTGAGTAATTCGTTGTGCTCTATGTTGAGCGGATATTTGTAATAAGTGGCTGGAGCTTCTTTGAAGTAAAGGCCAAATTATAGTCGATCATGTAAAAATAGCTACCCAATCACTTTCTTTTGTTTAAAATATAAGAGTAATTTTATAATTCTTGAGAAGATATCGGAAGATACCAGTATTTTCTAGTGTAAAACTTAGTAACACATGTGCAAGATATCTCGAGGTATCAAAATTTTTAGAGTAAAATTTTGGTACCTAAGGCTAAAGACCATAAAATTTCTCAAAATATAAATATATGTTAGGTTGTTAAGCATAGATAAGTTAAGAGGAAAACACTATAGTGCCCCTCAATAAATAAGATGTGGTTATGAATATTTTGGTATAAATTTTAAATACTAAAAGTGCTTATATTTCGGACAGCTCGTATTTCCCTGTTTTTTCTTTTCTTTAACCCCGCCAAAACCCCTTCTCTTCGGGTGGTGCTAATGGGCGATCGATTGCTCCAAGCGATCGATCCCCATCCTCCCTAACACACTACTCCCCCCTTCCTCCTCCCCTTCTTCTCTTCCTACTACACCATAAATTTTAAAAAAATAAAAAAACAAAAGTTAGAAAAATTTATATATAGAAATACTATATATAAAAAATATTTGAATTCAAATTCAAATTCAAATTTGAATCGGATATATAAACTTTTGATTTATAAACTTTGGGTCTATAAACTTTAGGTGTATAAATTTTAAATGTACTTTAGGTTTATAAACTTTAGATGTACAGAAATACTATATATAAAAAATATTTGAATTTAAATTCAAATTTGAATCGGATATATAAACTTTGGTTCTGTAAACTTTAGGTGTATAAACTTTAAATGTATAGAAATACTATATATAAAAAATATTTGAATTCAAATTCAAATTTGAATCGGATATATATAAACTTTTGACTTGTAAACTTTGGGTCTCTAAACTTTAGATGTATAAACTTTAGATGTGTAAACTTGGGGTGTATAAATTTACTAAAATAGAAAAGTAATGCGGTAAAAAAAAAGAAACCACGTGAAGAAGGGGGTGATCGATGTAGGGAGGGGACCGATTGCTTGGAGCGATCGACCGATTTTTTGGTATATAAGCACATGCAACCTTTTAATTACAAATGTAAACACACGATATTTGAATTTCTATTTCTAAATGACATGCCCATATGCCCAAGTCAATCAGATTTACCTTATGTTGAATAAAATAATTTGTTTACTTAAATGTCCAAGAGATTAACGAGCTTTTGACCGCCTTGTTACTATCAGTAACAT